GTGCTTGTTCTTGAGCAGCAAGTATTAAACCTTCCGATTCTTTCTTGATAGTTCCCATCTTAAGCCATGCCCATGTGAAGTTGTTATCACATTTTCCTTCAAATGCTGTTCATGCAAAGCTTTGGTTTTCCATCTATTTAATCTTTCATCTAGCTGTTTTTCCTTATATTCTGTCTTTGTTTCTTTGTTCTAAAAATGTTCTCCATTTTCACAGCCTGCAGCAATTTTTCTGTACTTTAGTCATTCAATACTTCTTTCTTCTTCTTCTACAGTTTGATGGATTTGCAATAGCCCTCTGCCCCTTATTCTTCTTGGCAGGTACAACCCGTCAATGTCACTTCATGGGTGTAAAGTGTAGTACATATTCAATAGTTTACGTGTTTTCTGGTCCAAGTTTCAACCACACTCCATTTGATGATTCTAGCTGAGTAGCGTCTCAGCTTTCCAGTCCCCAGGCCTTGCGAATGCAGAAATGAACAAGCTCTGGAAATAGATGGTATTTTTTATTCAAGCCTGAGGCCTGGCATAAATGAGTGTTTGACAGTTGCAAACTCAGCGCTGAAAGCTAATGCTCCCAGCGCTCTGTTTATAGGCAAGACCACGCCCCGTCCCACCCCCCAGGTACCAGCGTCAGCATTCTATTTCTCCTCAGCAGTCCACTATCTGGTGTCTGCGCTTCCAGCCTCTGTCTGCCAATAAGTTGGGCTTCAGAGATAAGGACTTGGCAAGCTACGGAAAGTCTGAAAATCCAAAAATGTGAGCTCATCTGGTAAATACAAAAACGCAGTGACAACTCCTTCTTTTGCCAGTTGAGCGAATATCGGATACATCATCAAATAAGGCACATCTTCTTACGCAGATACTCGTGTTGAGCTGCTGGAAGCGGTTTGTTGAGCATGTCTGCAATCTGATCATGTGTAGATACTGCAATTTTACAAAACCTTTTTTCACTAATTGTTTTATGTTTTGATAACGGATGTCAATGTGTCTGGACCTAGAACCTGTGAAATGTGATTCAGAAATATAAACCACCAATTCATTGTCTTCCATCATGGTGATCGGTCTGATCGGGCGTGTCCAGATATCTGTGACCAAAGCATCAAACCAAGTTAGAGAATTACATGCATCTGAGACACAAGCATATTCAGCTTCGGTAGATAAACAAGAAACAAAATTCTGTTTACGCACTTGCCAATAAACAGGACATCCATTTAAGAACATCATATAACCTGAAGTACTTTTACGTGATTTCTTATCACTTGCCCAATCAGAATCTGCATAACAACATAATTCTGCATAATCAGTATGTGTTGGTTCTAACAATAACTTCATATGTTTAGTGTGTTTTAAGTATCTCAATAATTTCTTAACACATGACCAATGAAACTGTTTTGCCTTACCTACGTGTCGAGACAAGAGATTAACACTAAGTGCAATGTCAGGTCTGGTCCAACTACTAATGTACAACAGTGACCCAATAACTGAACGATAAAGTGTTTGATCCTCGAACTCAGGACTTACTTCATGTGTCAAGTTGTGAAAATCTGTTTGCATGGGTGTCTTTGTTGTGTTAGCATCCTTCATGTTGCAATGATGCAAAATTTGTTCAATTTTATTCTCTTGTGAAAGACTAAACCCCTTTTGTGTTTTGTCAACCTGAACACCTAAATAAGTGCTAATATGATCCAAAGATTTCAATGTGAAGTATCTCTGCAAAGCTTTGGCAAAAATTTCTCTCATTTGCTTATTTGGACCAATATAAACAATATCATCAACATAAACAAGAACTATCTCATATGCATTGTTAGATCTTTTTGTGAACACACACTCATTAGTTTCGGACTTAATAAAGCCCATTGAACTTAGTTTGTCAGTAAGACATAAGTATCACATTAAACCAGACTGTTTCAGACCATAAAGACTTTTGTTTAGAAACCAGGTATCCCCTTCTTACTGTCGGAACCCTGGAGGACCTCTCACGTAGATCTCTTCATCCAGGTCTGCATGTAGATAAGCTGTGTCAACATCAAACTGGAAAACTTCTAAATCAAGAATAGTTGCAGTTGCTAAAGCAATTTTTACACTTTCAGTTCGGACTGTCGGTGAGTAGGTATTTGTGTAGTCCTTGAGTGAAACCCTGAGCTACAAGTCTGGCCTTGTACAGTGACTCACCATTTGCTTCTTTTTGATTCTGTAGACCCATCGAGTGCCAATGACTTTTTTATTTGCTGGAGGTTTTGCAGGTGTAAACACTTTAAGTTTCTTTAGACTGTCCATTTCAACCTGCATTGCATCATACCATTTGTCTTGCTCTGAATCAGGAAGCTGTTTGATTTGTGTGAAATTATCAGGTGGAAGTGTAACATTGCAAATCAAAGGCAAGGGTGTTTTTGTCAGTTGCCAAGAATATCGTTGTGGAGGGATCCCTTTTGTGGCCCTCTTGGAACGTCTCGGAACAACAGTCCATTCTTCTTCTGCTTCGTCCTCACATTCGTCGCTAGCGTCAGCATCCGCGGCTTGCGAAGACGGAACATCAGGTTGAGAAGAACCAGTGGAATCTTGATCATCAATCTGTGTAGCATCAGCAGTATCATCTCTAGGAAAATAAACTCCAGGATCATTGGAATGAATCCTGGACCAATCAACATCTTCCTCAAAATTAGCAGATTGGGAAATCACAATTACATGTTTAGAGTCAATAAATTTGCTCCATTTTGAGTTATCATCAATACCCATAAATCTCAGTCTCTTTGCTGCTGGACCTCCTTTTCTTCTTTGAGCTAAGGGAATGTTCACCATAGCATATGAACCAAAAATATGGATGTTTTTGAGATCAGGCTTGTACCCATACAACATGAAGAAAGGAGTCTGATTTATTACACTGCTCCAAGTACGGTTGACAATGTAATTTGCATATTTGATAGCTTCACCCTAGTATGGCATAGTAAGGTTGGCGTCTTCTAGGAGACAATGCATCATGGTTTGCAGGACCCCTTGTCTCTCTACGACCCCATTATGAGCCGGTGTGTAAGGAGCCGATGTCTGATGAAGAATTCCATTCTTACGCATCCAGTCCTGGAAACGCTGAGACATGAATTCAGCACCACAATCACTCTGGATTCTGGCGATGCGAACTTTGTGTTGGGTAGAAACAAGAGCAGCAAAATCTTTAAAGATCTGAAAGGTCTCAGATTTTTCTTTCATAGGATATACATATCCATATCTAGAATAATTATCAACAATTGTTAAAAAATATTTTCTACCAAGTGTTGGCGGAAATGGACCAACTATGTCAGTGTGTGCCAAATCAAAAATGCGTGTTGACAGGTGTGTAGCGCGTTTGGGAATTGCTGCTGCTTTGGATTTGGCCTTTTTGCAGACAGCACAATCCAAAAACACCTTACACCCCTTTAGATCCAAACCTTTTGCGAACTCCGGCATCTTCCTAAGAACACGGAAACTGGCATGCCCCAATCTTCTATGCCATTTATGGATACACCTGGAATGCAAAGGTTTACCAGTTAGTGAATTCTCAACATTAACATTTTTATGAGGAACCTCAGGCTTGCTCTGAGCAACCTGTTTCCTAATTTTCTTTTTGTTGGCTTTAGGAGCCTTTGGAATAGCAACAGGATCTCTCACTGGAGAATCTCTCTCTGGGCCTGTGCTCTCCTTTTTTGGTATACTTGCCTGTGTTTGTGATTTAGGCTTTGGCTTTAAGTAATAAACACCACCAATTAACATGGTTTCAGCAACAATATCTCCATTTTTAACTATGGAACTTGCTTTTTCAAGGTGGTGAACCTGGAACTTTAATGCTCTAGACAAGTGACTCTGACTAAGCAAATTACTAGTTGCTGTTGGTATATAATAAACATCAGGAATGAATGCATCGAGCTCTTCAACATAAACAGTTCCTTTTCCTTTGACCTGACAAGGATGATTTGAAAAAGAATAAAGTTCACGTAGTTCAGGTTCAGACTCGTGCATCTCTGTGAAAAGTTCCTTTCTGTCTTTAAAAAGTCACCGCCGTCGCCGAAGCTCGCAAACCGGAAGTCATTATGTATGATTTGTTGATAGAGGATCTGCAAGTGATACAGCTGTAGATGTGCAACCCAGGTCTATGTGTTTAAACCATGTTTTATTTAAACCTTTGGGAAAATAAAACTAGTAATGAGTGACTGAAGAATGATGTATTTTTGGTGGATTAAAAGCAGCAATGAGGATTTTCTGGGGCCATCACCTACTTTACAAGTAATAACTTTCCCCCCTTCATATCAGAACCTTTAATACCTTATAAAGCAACATATTTGTATGTCTGTGCACGCGCGCATGCACATGCACGCCTGTCTTATTGCCTGGACTAGTTCCTGCAGTTTTCATGGCAAGATTTTTGGAAGTAGTTTGTGGTTGCTCTGGGAGTAGCCCAGGGTTACCCAGTTGGCTTTGTGACAAGGGTAAGAGTAAAATTCAGCTTGTCTTGGTTTGTAGCCTGATGCCCTTAATCACTAGACCAAATATATATCACTATACAGGAGTAGAACAGTAGAGAGAGGGGGAGGGGAGGAAGAGAGGAGGGGGGAAGCAAACCAAAGTCAGAAGGAATAGAAAGAAATGTGCATTTTCACATACTTTTTCTAATTACACCTCCAAAGTTTTTCTTTTTGTAGTCTTTTGGCACTGGGGTCAAAGCAAGCGAACTCAAGTTTCACACAAAGTATTCTAGACATAGAAGGCCAATTGGTTTATGCAACTAGTCCATGTGATGGGGTCATTAATAACAGTGTCTCAAATACCAATTGGCCAATTATCTGGAGAAGATCAGTGGCTCAAAATTCAGAAGAGGTTTATCCTTGGCTCATTTTAATTAATGCCTTAACAACAACAGTGATAAAAGAGAATTACAAGAACATCTATTTTGCCAAACCATGGTGTTCCTATGAAGCAAGCTCAAGAAAACAATTCATGTTTTGTTATGCAGTCAATTCTATAGGAACATACCGTTGCAGTTGATTTCCCTTTTCCTCTCAAAATTCTCAGGATATTCTCACTTATTTTATCTACATTACCTATTAGACAATAAAGACAATTTGGTGTCCTTAAGTGGCTGTTAAGTTTTGTTATGCAGTGTATAACTTCATTGAATATAACGAAATATAACACATAGAACATCCCAGTGCACATATTCTGGAAAGAGAGAAGTTCCCTAGTAATGGGCTCCAGCACAAGCCCAAAAGTTTGGAACAATAAACCTTTGGTCCTGGTGACCAGTTCAGATTGGATCCTGCAACAATATCCTGGGACATGTATATTTGCCTTCAGTTGCAAGTGTGAATTAATTTATTAATCTATTATGAATTAATTAATCTATTATGAATCTTAATGGTTATGCAAAGCTTAGCTATGGAGGGTTGTTTTGTTTTTTTTACTATAACCACAATACAGTTTAGTCTAGGTTTATCTCAGGATATATGACAATCTAAGCAAGTTTCAAGCAAATTTATTTAAATATATATTTAATTTCTATAATTACAGAACATTCAGTGTACCTGTCTTGCCAGCTGCATCCCTGAATTGTAAGAGGAACATGTTAGAAAAAGAAACAAAACTCTTTCTGTCTTTCCAACTGTATACCGGAAGGAAATAGAAGATGATGATGATGACCAGCAGCAATGTGGATGGGTTCAGGTACAGTGGCTATGAGGGTGCTGTTGGAAGACCTAAAAGGTCAGTTTAAGGACAGACAGCCATGGAGAAAATCTATCAGTTGTGATCACTAGGAGTAAAAAATAATTTGTTGACAAATAATTAATCAAGTGCTAGAATAAACCATTTAGTGAAGATTCAATAATCACACAATGTAACTAACTAGTTTCATACAATATACTTATCCAAATGCAAATAATATAATTTAGGTTAATGTGTCAAAGCAGCCATTCTCTAAAAGAACTAGGCCAATTAATGGCAGGTCTACTCTGCTCCAATTGCTTTTTCTTCGCTCCAGGAACTTAAACAACTAGAGTATAAACAAAGAAAGATTAATTTACATGAAGATCTCTAAGCATTATGTATATATATTTTCCCTTCTTTTTTATGTTGTTTTAAGATCACATTCTGTTGCAAAGCCAATAGGGAAGCTAGATTCATTTAACAACCATGTTACTAATTTAACAACTAGAGTGATTCACTTACAACTGTCTTGCTTAGCAATAGAAATTTTGGGCTTAATTGTAGTTGTAAGCTGAGGACTACTTTGGAATTAATCAAATCAGATTCAGACACTGAATCTCTTAATAGGTAAATAGTCTCCAAAATCATATGCACCGTAGACTTACTTTGCATATTAAGAACATCAATCTATCCATGTCTACTCAAATTTCCCTAATGGGAAACAGATTTTGAGTTAAATCAATGCATCTACAAAATTATGCCATTCTTTTTCTGAATGCTCGACTCTTTCACAAAAATTCATCATAAGCTAGAGCAATAGATCAAGGAAATACATTCTATTCTATGTGCAACCAGCCAAAAACTAAGTAAGATCAGAACAAAGGTTAAATTTTTTATTTAATTTGAATTAAACTCAGTGAGGTTAATATAACTCCCAACAGGTTTTAATACTTTGTACTGATCTCGTCAGAGGGTATAATGGCTCAGTGGTTAAAGACTCTGAACTTGACAGCCTGGTTTCGACACCTGAGTACTGCACAACAGGATGAACTCCTGTTACTTGTCCCAGCTCCTGCTCAGCTAGCAGTTCAAAAGCATTCAAGTGTGAGTAGATAAATAGGCACTTCAATGGGAAGGTAACAGTGCTCCATGTGTCTCGGCATATAGTCATGCTGGCCATATGACCACCTAAATATTTTTGGACAAAGCTGGCTCCCTTGGCTAAGTAACAGAGATGAGCACCGCACCTAGAGGTGGACTCAACTGGAAAGGAGAAACTTACTTTTACTGATCTCATATTAAAAATTATAGTTCATGATACACCAGGTTTTATGGATTTGCAGGCTGAATAGTAGTTTATCACTCTATGTAAAATGTAATTTTTAATTTTTAATTATATTAGTGCGGAAGTGGCAATGAAGGAAAGCACAAATTCTTCAATTTTATCACTAACAGAAACCATATGCATATACCGTATTTTCCGGCGTATAAGACGACTTTTTAACCCAGGAAAATCATCTCAAAAGTCGGGGGTCGTCTTATACGCCGGGTACCCGAATCTGAGTTGCTGGCGCTGACCGATGACACTTTGGGAGCGCCGGCAACATTGAGGGGAAGCTGTACTCCAAATTAGTTCCAACCTACAAGAGGTGCCAGGCAGTGCGCGGCCCACGAGAAAGGAACGCGTCCCCACTCTACCCCAGAATTCAGGTCACCTTCCTTTCTTTCCCAGCAGTCCACAGTGAAAGCGGCGCCGCGGTCGACCTGGGCCAGCGCCTTGCACACCTGGCTCTGCGTCTCCATTATGAGAAGCTCCATGCGACTTCGCATGTCTCCGCCCCAGTCGCGCAGCTCTCGCAATCCGCTCACCGGAGGAGCCATGAAGTGCTCGCACCGCCTGGCCAGATCTTCCTCGTCCTCCTTTCCCCATGGCTTTTCCAGTTGTAATTGCTGCTGCTGCTGCCGCCGAGGCTGCTCCTTCATCTCCGCCCGCCGCACCAGACCCAGCCCGGCCAGCACCGCCGTGGCTCCCGCAGTCCAAGCGGATCGGCACCCGGGCTCGCAGGTGAAGGGTGGGAGTGCGCAGCGCACTTTCCTGGCTTGGTGCCGATCCGGACGGCTGCAGAAGGAACTGGGCACCGGCTGTCATGTCTTTTCTGCTGTGCGGGATTCGGCACCTGGGCTCCCGGGGTTTAAGCCTCCGGGCCGGCCCGCGCTGCTCCAGGATGTTCGCTTCGGGCTCCTTGGAATCGCTGCCGGGCGGTTCTTCCCGTTGGGGCGATGGTGGGTGGCAGCGATCGGCATCGCTTGGACTGCAGGAGCCACGGCGAACTCCTTCCCCACGAGGTATTGCTCTGCATTTCACCACCTCTTCCAGGCTCGCAGCCACCCACCATCGCCCCAACGGGAAGAACTGCCCGGCAGCGATTCCAAGAAGCCCGAAGCGAACATCCTGGAGCAGCGCGGGCCGGCCCAGAGGCTTAAACCCCGGGAGCCCAGGTGCCGAATCCCGCACAGCAGAAAAGACATGACAGCCGGTGCCCAGTTCCTTCTGCAGCCGTCCGGATCGGCGCCAAGTTAGGAAAGTGCGCTGTGCACTCCCACCCTTCGCCTGCAAGCCCAGGTGCCGATCCGCTTGGACTGCGGGAGCCACAGCGGTGCTGGCCGGGCTGGGTCTGGTGCGGCGGGCGGAGATGAAGGAGCAGCCTCGGTGGCAGCAGCAGCAACAATTACAACCAGAAAAGCCATGGGGAAAGGAGGAGCAGCGCTAAATTACCTTCCGGGGTGGAGGGGTGTGTGTGGAAGAATAGGTGAAGCTAAAACGGCTTTCTCGTTCATCCCGATGTCAAGAGAAGCGGCTTGAGGGGCGCCCGAGCTTTTAAGATTTTAACCTGGGCTAATCGGGCGGGGGAAAGAAGTGCTCTAGTCTGCAAACGAGGCAGGGTCTTGGGTTTAAAGGGTGGGGGGGCAGAGAAACTTTCAAGGCAGTTTTCTCTCAGCCAGAGGTAGAATCTGAACGGGAGAATATGGGCGCGCTGCGTGGATTGCATTATTTCGCTCATTTCTGGAAATATCCCTGCGCCCCTTTTCGCCTCCCGGAATTATGTGGCTCCCACCCACCCCACCCCACAACAGATCTGCACGAGAGGCCAGAAAACTGTGGGTTTCGTGTGTGTGTATGTAACAAAAGGTGCAGATGTCTTTCCCCCCCTGTTTCTTTCCGGCTGCAGCCTTTCTTCTGAATGGGGTCGGGCTGGATACGCTGCGAAAGAGATCGGCTTGGGGGAAAAAAAACCGGTCTGCCGCCTTTACCACTACCTCCCCTCTTCACAAACACACACTTTTTGTTGTTGTTTGTTGCTGATAACATTCCCCCTCTCCCCCCCCCCAATTCCACGGGTTCAAAGCCGCCGAGAGAGAGAGAGAGAGAGAGAGAGAGAGAGAGAGAGAGAGAGAAAGAAAGAAAAAAAGAGTTTTGATTCTGCCGGCTTATCGCGAAGGCATTGGAACAAGCAGCCTAAAACTAGGAGGCGTGTAAAGTCGCGGCTTAACGTTGCCGCAATGAGACTTTGGTGCCTGTTTGTATGGACGGTGTCCATGCTTGCCGCGTCCTCTGTATCGAGACCTCTTTTAAAGCTCCTTTTTGATAAACCCCCCTTGTGCCTCTTCTCCGGGTTTCTTGGTAACTGGGATCCGCTACACGTGCAAAACGGAGTCCCGAAATGGCTCTCCCGAGGTTGCCCGCTCTCACCATTACTGCAGCCGTCCGGATTGGCGCCAAGCCAGGAAAGTGCGCTGCGCACTCCCACCCTTCGCCTGCGAGCCCGGGTGCCAATCCGCTTGGACTGCGGGAGCCACGGCGGTGCTGGCCGGGCTGGGTCTGGTGCGGCGGGCGGAGATGAAGGAGCAGCCTCGGCGGCGGCAGCAGCAGCAATTACAACCGGAAAAGCCATGGGGAAAGGAGGATGAGGAAGATCTGGCAAGGCGGTGCGAGCACTTCATGGCTCCTCCGGTGAGCGGATTGCGAGAGCTGCGCGACTGGGGCAGAGACATGCGAAGTCGCATGGAGCTTCTCATAATGGAGACGCAGAGCCAGGTGTGCAAGGCGCTGGCCCAGGTCGACCGCGGCGCCGTTTTCACCGTGGACCTCCTTGGAATGCTGGAACCAGCTGGTTGCTGCGCAGAGCTTCCCCCAGGCATCCAGGGAGATATTACCGATGCTCTGACTTCCCCAGACCGGTGGACCTCGCCATCAGTGGGGGTCAGCTGAGGAAGTCAGAGCGTCGGTAATACCCCCCTAGATGCCTGGGAGAAGCTCCGCTCAGCAGCCAGCTGGTTCCAGCATTCAGCAGCATGCAGCCTTGACTAGATTGGCACAGCTTTCTGTCAATGTCATCAGTCAGTGCCAGCAACTCAGATTCATGAAGCTGTGCGGATCTCGACAAGGCTGCATGGGTGAAGGAAAAAAACCTGGTACAAAATAGCCCTCTTGCCACTACACCTAGCGTAGCCCATTACCTTTCTCTACAGTACAGCAACAATACATACAGTACAGCAACAGTACATACAGTATAGTATACAAATATAACAGTCAAGACCCCATCATGGCTCCACCAGCAAGAAGAAAGAAATATGAAGCCAGTTTTAAACTTAAAGTTGTAAACTTTGCCATGGAACATAATAACTGTGCTGCTGCAAGACAATATGGAGTAACAGAAAAGATGGTTCGGGACTGGAAAGCAAATGTAAAAGCGTTAAAGAGTATGCCAAGGGGTAAGTGTGCATTAAGAAGAGGCACCCCACATTGGCCAGAACTCGAAAAACATGTAGCAGACATGGTGAATGAGCATCGCCAAAACGGTTATGTAGTGACACGAAATAAAATACGTTTGTTTGCACTTCAGTGGGCCAAATCTAACCCAGATCACAGCAACAGATTTAAGGCCACTGTATCCTGGTGTACTAGATTCTTGGAAAGGCATAAGCATTTGAATTAAAATTACCATATTGAAATCAAATCTGATGTTTTTTAATTTTTATTTGGTGTGCGTTGGAAGAGGGGTAGTCTTATACGGCGAGTATAGCCCAAACCCTATATTTTAACAGGAAAAGTAGGGGGTCGTCTTATACGCCCAGTCGTCTTATACACCGGAAAATACGGTATATGAACACAGCATATATTGTGGCCATTAAAATCACTTGCCTAGTTCAGTTCCCTGGGCCCTGACATTGTATATGTATTACTGCATCCTGATTCATCTAAGCGAGGACCTTTTGATTCCATGGGCTACATCTGTTGTGAGATTAGGAGACAGAATGTGTATACAGATGCAAATATTCACATGCTACATAGTATGTATGTTAACCTCTCAAGGGGAAACACTGGGAGGAAAGAAGGAACGGAATGAGTGATGAATCCAACCTTCCCACCCTATCAACAATTCTGCCTCCAGACTTCAGATTTCCCATGGTGGGTGATCCTGATATTGTCATGCAAAGAACAAGCTTTGTAGATCAGTCCTTTCTGGAGGATATAAAATGAAAGTGGCCAATGAGCAATTATTCGGCCAATGCATATAATGTTCAGGAAAGTAATGACTACTGAAATGTAAAGCTACTAGCTGGACGCCTGTGTTTTGCTACGAAACTATGTGCTTGAGCTTGATAAATTGACACTTACATCCTGAAACTTAATGTAGAATGTGTAACTCCGTAGCATCAGAGTGTGTTAATATAATGCAACTGGCAATTGGAACAGAGGGGGAGGGGGAGTAGAACTCCTTAGCATCAGAGGGCTGCTTGGAAAGTGAAACTATTTGCTGTGTGAGCAAGAAGGAGACAGGAAGGAGGCTGGGCGTGGCTTAGCTTAAGTGTTCTGTATTAAAGCTGCTTCCTGCTGTGAAAGTAAAATTGAAACTCCTCTGCTTGTGTTTTGCATTTGGAACAGATTTCTTTGCAGGTGGGGAGGGGGAGTAGAACTTCTTAGCATCAGAGCGTGTTAATAATAATATAGGTCATTTTGAAAAATCCTTTCTTAGTGAGCACTACATGACAAATTTCAAGTTTGTAGGCTTTATGGTTCTGGAGATTTCGTGATTAATGCGTGAGTGGTTTTTGCTTTTATATATATAGCTAAGACTTGAACATAACACCTCTCCTGCGTGAGCTGCACTGGCTCCCAGTTGGTCTTCCGGGTGCGCTTCAAGGTCTTGGTTACCACCTTTAAAGCGCTCCATTGCATAGGACCTAGTTACCTTCGAGACCGCCTGCTGCTACTGATGACCTCCCATCAACCTGTGCGCTCCCAGAGAGGGCCTCCTCGGGGTGCCATCAGCCAAACAATGTAGGCTGGTGACCCCCAGGGGGAGGGCCTTCTCTGTGGGGGCACCTACCCTCTGGAATCAGCTGCCCCCAGAGATAAGGAGAATCCAAGACCTCAGTGCCTTCCGCCGTGCCTTTAAAACTTTCCTTTTCCAGCAAGCCGGGCTGGTTTAAATTTTTTTAAAATGTTTTTAATTGGTTTGTCACTTTTTAAATTATGGAGCCAAATCGATATATATTCTTTTAATTGTTTTTAATGTTTGTATTTTATGTTTCTTATTTGTGGCTGTACACCACCCTGAGTCCTCCGGGAGAAGGGTGGTATATAAATTCGAAATAAATAAATAAATAAATGAACGAACGAATGAATGAATGAATGAAAAATAAAAAATTCAGATTATCCCAAGAACTGTTTGTTAGATGAGCTCAGGAACGCAAAACCTAGGTCACATCATTAATAATAGCAAATCTGTAGATACCGTAATAGGTCATTGATATACTGTATAACGGAACAGTGATTATTTATTTTACCTTCTGGGATAGAGTAGATTGTTTACCACCACATTCAATATAAATGCACATATTCAAGTACTTTTTTTTCTAGATCTGAATTTATTATTTTGTTTAACTTCACATATGCCCCTCCAAGAATTATCTCATCCCAACAATTATCTCCTACATAAAAGAACATTTGGAAGTCTGAGGAAAAAATAGCACAAGTCTGCCACCTGGAGTGAGTCTTCTATAAAACCAATATATAACCTTGATTAATGATTTTATATACTGTAATACAATTGATGTACATCATACTTTGCTAAATATAAAAATCCTATGTATGTCCTACAGGCAAAACACAGAAAGACCAATGGATCTTTTCGTAGTCCTCGATTTACAACAGTTTGTTTAGTAACTGTTCAAAATTACAACAGCACTGAAAAAAGTTACTTATAACCATTTTCCACATTTACAACAGTTGCGGCATCTGCAAGGTCATGTGATCAAAATTCGGATGCTTGGCAACTGGTTCATATTTATGATGGTTGCAGTGTCCTGGGGCCATGTGATCACCTTTTACAACCTTCTGACAAACAAGTCAGTGGGGAAGCCAGATTCATTTCACAACCAGGTTACTAACTTAACAATTGCAATGATTCACTTAACAACTCTGACAAAAGTCATAAAATGGAGCAAAACCTATTTAACAAATGTCTCACTTAGCAACATCCTACATTTTGAAAGAAACAACAGAAAGGATGGGAAAAATGAGTGTAACAAGAAAACAGCTATTTTAGTCTTTGTTATATTTTTAGAGGAGGACCTGTTCACCTTACCACTGTATTTGGCATTAATTCTGTTCATCTACTCTAAGAAGGCAAAGAGGATTCTGCTTTGATGTTGTCAAAGGGTCTCTCTGTTAACAGAGAATGGTATTCTTTGTTTTTTCCTGTACAAGAACCCAGAGAAAATTTGGGAGATGTGAGATGAAGAGGTATTCCTTTCTGGGCAAAACAGCCTGTTCTATATATCCTGGAAAAACAAAGTGCTGCTAGTTTTCCCAAAACTCACATGAGCTTCATAGCATCCTGGCAATGCACTGACAGATTTCAAGTCAGCTCTGGAATTTGCATGAGTTCAGGGCAGCCCAACAAATTAATACAAGGACAGATGGCTTCAGATATCTAAATTATAAGGAATATAACACTTCCTTTCCACAGTGACTATAGGAAGCACACTAGTACATGGAGAATGAGGGCAGAGAGATACCAGCTAATGGCTGTTTTTTGCAGGCTCATCTCAGTCTCAGAGTTCTAATCCTGCTTTAGGCATGAAAGCCAGCTGGGTGGCTATGGACCAAGCACTCTCTCTCTCAGCCCAATCCACCTCACAGGGTAATTAATTGTGGGAAAACAGGAGTAAACTTCATTGAGTATTAGGTATGTTCACCACCTTGAGTTATTATAGAAATAATAAAGATAGGATCCAAATAAATAAATCTTCAATAAACATTGCCTGGAAAAATTCTTGAAGTTACAATGGCTGTCCTTTCTAAAATCATGTTTTCAAATCAAGAGCTTCAAAATATTGTACCACTACCTATTCCCTTGGTTTTCTGTAGAGCAAATAGTTTTCATTTTTACATAATCATAACAAACAAAGACATAGTAAAGTATGTAATATAAACCAAAGCTTGATGATGGCTTAGCATACCAAACGTTGAAAACTACTCTGACGCCCTTTAGTTAAGGCAATTCATATTATGAGGAAGTCAAATAATATTTAGCGGTATAAATTCTAAATTGAAGCACAACAGACTCTTTAAAAATATTCAGGAAGATATTTTTGGATATGAACTGAAATATTCTCTTTGAAGTTTTCTGAGACATAGAATTTGTTTTAAATCTATTTTAGCAAGTCATCATTACAGTAGCTGATGGCCGTACACTAAAACTAAGTTTTAACCTAACTAAGGTTACCCATGTTACCTAAATTTTCTGGATTGTGTTGAATTGAAAAGGATGATCTAAGAATCTGTTGAAATTTCTGTTGTTTAAAATATCTATTTCTTATCTGCTAAGGCATGCAAGCAAAACACATAAAGATTTTTTTTTAAAAAAAAAATAACCAAAACCAAAAGGGGTTCTGCAAAATAATAAAAAAATATATTCTGGCAGCCCTCCCCCGCTTTTTCCTCCAAGTTACTAACTGTTACTTGCATATTTTTATACTAGTTTGAACATTTTCATTTCCTACCTGCTTGGATAACTTTAATCATCATTACAAGTAAAAGTTTCTTCTGTTCTATTGGAAGTTTCTCTTTTTTTCTCTCTCTAAACAATCCCCCATACTCTAAGCTTGCCTTGCAAGGGTGACCCTTCCTATCCGAATTTAGCTCAACCTCTGCCGTGTTTATCGATCGTCGCTTTCCCTTTGCTGCAAATCCTTTAATTCTCTCTCGTACTCCCCATCCTGGATTGAGGACAAAGTTTCTCTTTTCCAAGGCTGTGCCTGAACAAGCGAAGGACCAACCATTCCCGACACAGCAACGTTTCAAAATCTTTCTTGGAGATTTTCCCGCGCGCGAAAGGCGACAGCAGACCCGGGACCTGACTAAACTCTCTTACCGATCTGCAGAGCACAAATACAAATACTTTTGTATTTATGTGTTTTATTTTGTGCCTGTTCACCGCCCTGAGTCCTTCGGGAGTAGGGCGGTATACAAATTTAATAAAATGAAATGAAATGAAAATGAAATGAAAGAAGCAGCTCCTCCCGCCCTCTCCACCTGGGCGAAAGCTTCGTACTGGAAGAGGTCCCTTCTCGTCTTGCACCGCCTTCTCCCTCGCCGGGACACTTGGTGTAATCTGTGAGTCACAATCCTCCCCCTTAGCGTGACGTTCAGCCCGGTGGGTTGAGGTGAAAGGGGGCGAGACAAAGCTGCCCATCTGAGGAGTTGTCGGGGAGGGGGGGAGCTTGGGGTGGGGGGGATCAGTGTTGGTGACACTATGAGGTAGGAGGTTGCTGAAGCAGGATCTTTTAAACGGGAGGTTAGACAGACTCTGAAGCTCTTTTTTTGCCCCACATACTTTGTGGTTTTTTTTGGGGGGGGGGGTGTAGATAGGAATCTTATAGTTGTTTTTGTTTTAGATGTATTTTCTACCTTCCCCAACCCTCGATCTAAAGTAGTAGATTCAGCATGATTGGGACAGCCCGACCTAGGGCGATGTACAGTTTAACAGATTCTACCCCTGCCCGGACAATTTGGGTCTACCGTAACGGGGATCCGTTCTACATGGGGAGGAAATTTATAATCAATCCTCGATACGTGCCCACCTTTGAAGCCTTCATGATCCAGCTGAACGAAAGTGTGCCAACACCCTTTGGGGTGCGGAAGCTCTATACACCCGGACAAGGGCATACTATTACAGACCTCCCGGAATTGCAGCAGGGAGGTAGATATGTGGTTGCTGGCAGGGAGAAGTTTAGGAAACTAAAGTAAGTATGAAGACCGGACCATTGCAATCCTTTGGATCTTTAAAGTTTTGTTCAAGTTTATCACAATGTGCAAAGTTTCTTCTCTCCTTCCTCCTCGATTTTATTAGATAACAATCCAGGTAGTATAAATTCCAAAGAAAATCTGCACGCTGCTAATTTTAAACCTTTATTCAGTATTGCCAAAAGAAAAAAAAAAAGATGCTGATAGCAGAGTTTAGCATAACACTGAAAATATTAGTGGGAAATTCAAGTCCTTGCGGCAAAGATTTTTTTTCTGCATCTTTGTGGTAGGTGAACTGCATTTGCCTTTGCAGTATTCATAATCTGCATTAGAAACTGATTAAGTCAGTGTATTTATAGCTTGCTTGATATATATTAGGGATTAAATGCTCTGAATAATGGTTTTAAAATCCCACAAAATAGAAAATGCCTCAAATAGTTAGTTAATCTAGAATTTGTATGTAAGAAATATTAACTTCTTTATATTTTTATTTTGCACTGTGTTCTATCTTTCCATAGGCAGTCCATCTTTGGAAGTATATAACTGATCTGCTCCAACACAACCCTATTTGCTAATTTGATATTCCTTATTCCTTCCTCTGCCTTGGATTTATCTAATTATTTAAGGCTTAAGTGCAATATGAAAGTCAGTCTGTTCTCTTTTACTTGCCATTGTCTAACTGGGTAGGGAAGGAGTTGCAAAGAGATAAGAAAAGATGGCTGTATTCATGCAACATCTAGATCCATTACACATTTAGTAGCCACATAAACTTGCTTAATTTTATCTTTAACACTAGCACTAACGATGTTACCTAGTTTGGGTAATGAAACATTTGCAAGAAAACAATCAAGCTCAGAGAGTACCAAGGACCTCTCAGTTTTATTTTTGGCCTGACTTTTTACCATTGATTGTTGTGTGATCCCAAGCCAGGTGTGTCAAACTCAAAGCCCGAGGGCCGGATTTGGCCCGGGGGTGCTCAGATCTGGCCTGTGGGGCTGCCCTGGAAAAGCAAAGAAGTGGCCCATGGTGTCTCTGCCAGAGAAAATGGAGCTTGGGAGCCTGTTTTCTCTGGAAGAGTGCACGGGCCATCACAGGTGCCCCCGACACGAGTGATGGTCAGCTGGCCATGCTCCCCCTGGCCATGCCCACTCCAGCCCCCCCAAGATCAAACATAACCCTCATGCAGCCTTCAATGAAATCCGAGTTTGACACCCCTGTCCCAAGCTATTGATTTGTTCAGAGAAAAATGGGTAATTCGCTAACCAAGCTGTATGTTTTATGAATATAGCCAATGAGTAGAGTGCTTTACATACTTCTTTTTGCTGGAGCAAGGAAATAAAGAACAGAGGTATTACAGTATAGGCCAGGGGTGTCAAATTGGTGGCCCATGGGCTGGATGAGTCTCGCGCAGGCCACATCCACCCCAGCTCTGTGAAGGGGAAAAACGTCAGCAACATGATGCAGCGAGTTTGACACCCCTGGTATAGGCCAATAATTAGATCTTTAACTTGATACTTTCTGTTTTTCCTTAAGAAACTGGAGAGTGATAAAAATTTTGATTTGGCTTAAATAATAGCTAATTTTGGGGGAGTTGTAGTGATTGGCTTGCCTATAAATTAGTGGCCAGCTGGTAAAATCATTTGCTTACCAGGAATCTATCCATTTAACAATTGCCTATACTGGATTGAAAGGACTAAGAATTATTTTTATGATAATGTTTCATTGTTCAGTTGGTTAAAATATGTTGTTACTATTAAACTGGAAATGACTTCCAATATGCTCTATAATCTAAACTTGTTCTCAAAGTCTTTTGTTTATATGCAAAATTATTCATAATTAAGACTCACTAGGATAATTGAGACTCACACCTCAATTTACAACAGTTCATTTAGTGACCATTCAAAGTTACAACAGCATTGAAAAAAGTGACATGACCGTTTTTCACAGTTACCACTTTTGCAGTATCCCCATGATCACGTGATCAAAATTCAGACCCTTGGCAACTGGTTCATATTTATGACAGTTGCAATGTCCTGGGGTCATGTGATTACTTTTTGTGACCTTCAGACAAAATCAATGGGGAAGCCAGATTCACTTAACCGGGTTACTAACTAATCAACTGCAGTGATTTATTTAACAACTGTGGCAAGAAAGGTTGTAAAATGGAGCAAAACTCACTTAACAAATGTCTCAACATTTGTGGTTGTAAGTCGAGGACTATCTATAAATGAAAACTGGACTGCAGATTTGTTGAACTGTAATTTATTACTGAATTTGCTGAAACTTGGTACCTCTTGGCTGCTTAGTTGATGAGAGCTGGTATTCATATTAAATGAAATAGGCTGCTGCCTGCAATTCCCACTGTAAGATAATGATTTGTTTTGTTTTGTTTTGTTTTGTTTTGTTTTGTTTTGTTTTGTTTTGTTTTGTTTTGTTTTGTTTTGTTTTGTAGTGACGTACTTACTGTGTGATACCTGGCCAGTCTATTTACAGAGCACAGAAGACATAATTTTAGCCTCTGTTCCTTTATCTTGCAAAAGGAAATAGAATTGTCAAAATGCATTACTATTCTTACTTTAATTTAAAGTTAAAAAAAATAGAATTAACTCCTGGAGTGTTGTAGATTTTGTTGTATGAATTGTGCTGCTTAATGTTTACATAAACTATTGGAGAAAGCTGTGGTTAGGATTTAGTATATGATGTCCTTAATAATGATACCCAATTATAATTCTTTTTGTTTTGAAGCCCAAAATGGCATTAGATGCTTAATTTTTTTCCTAGAATCATAATGAACTCAATTATAATAAAATGAAGGTCAGTGTAGATACAGCTAATTTTTAATGAATAGTATGGTTCATCTTGTGGTGTTTGTTCTTTCTTGATGTAGCCTTGTTTTCCATAGAAACAGAGAAGTTTTGAGTAGAGCTATTAGACAAGATGAGAAGATAATGGGTCTAAAAATTAAAAATGAGACCTTTAAATTGGGAACTTTTGATGATGATTTGGTTTTGATTTTACAAGACCCTCTGGAAGGGATTGAATTTTTGATAAAATTTTGATAAAAAGATTTTGGCATTAGCATTTTTAAGATTAATTAACAAAAAACAATCTTGGTAAAAATATAACTACACAAGGTCAAAATGATCTGATGAAAAATATCTGGTTTTAAAATTGAGAAAAAGACTAAATATTTTAGTTTTGTCTTGACTAATATGAACTGTATGTTGTCAAAATAACTGTCAAAGTTTTGAATGAAGTTAGAATATGTTGAGTTGGAAAAAAATGCAGTTGGGAAGAATATCTGTGATTAAGATAAATATTTTATCTAGAATGTTATTTTTATTCCAGACTACATTGACGACTGATATAACATTTAAGCAGTGGCAAAAAGATATTTCCAAGTTTGTTTGGCAAGGCAAAAAGCCTAGAATTAAATACAAAGTGCTGCTGAATACTAAGGAAAGAAGAGGATTAGGACTATCAGATTTGAAGCTGTATTTTGCAGCTTGTTTTTTAATATGGATGAAAGAGTGGGTGACTCTAGGAAATAGGCAGGGGTGAAATCTAAAATTTTTGGCTTAATTAGTGGGCGGGGCTTGGTGGTAAGGTGGGTGGGCGTGGCCAAGTCAATGTCACTTCTTTGCCCTTTTTTAACCTACAAAACACAACACAACACAACTGGCTCACCCACAATGTAAAAGCAGCTGTGCTAGACTTAAAATGGTCCCGCAACAAGCAGGAACCTCACACAGCCACAAAAAGCCCAAAAAAACAACTTTCACACTTTCACACACACCACACAACACAACACAACACAACTGGCTCACCCACAATGTAAAAGCAGCTGTGCTAGACCAAAATGGCCCCTGCAACAAGCAGGAACCTCACACAGCCTCAAAAAGCCCAAAAAACCAACTTTCACACTTTACACACACAAAATTCCACATACAGCTTTGTGAGATTTTGTGTGTTTGTGTAGTTAGAGTGAAACACTACAGAAACACACTAAATCTCAGAAATCTGCACAAATATTATTTTATTTTAATTTATTTTTATATAAAAGCAGCTAAATTTAAAACTTCTTAAACTTTAAATGGCTAGGTCTAAAAAAAAGAACAACTAAAAAAAAACCCAATTAACTATTTTTTTTTAAAGCTCCCAAAGGGGAAAAAACTTACCCAAAGAACAGGGGTCTCCAACCTTGGCAACTTTAAGACTTGTGGACTTCAACTCTCAGAATTCCTCAGCCAGCTTTGCTGGGAGTTGAAGTCCACAAGTCCAGGCAGGAAGGCAGGCAGGCAGAAAGAGCTGCTCACCGATGAGCTTGATTGCAGGCAGGCAGATTCAATTGCTTGCTGATGCATGGATTGCGATTGTCATCATCATCAGCAGCTAAGGTAAGCAAGCTGGAGGCTGGGAGAGGGGTGGGAGAAAAAAAGAACCTTTTTTTCTTTTACATAGCTCTGGCGATCCAAGCTGAGTTGCCTGATTAGCAGGCAATTCAGCTGGGATGTCAGAGCTTGGCTGGTCAGAGCCATTTAAAAGGAAAAAAAGGCTCTGATGATCGCAGGGCTCAGCTGGGCATCGGGGGCGGGGGCAGGGATTTTTGCTACTGGTTCTCCGAACTGCCCGCCTCCATCGCTACCTACTCGCCTGAGCTGGTCCGAACCGGGAGCATTTCATCCCTAGAAATAGACCAGTGGTGGGTTGCTACTGGTTTCTCCAGTTTGGGCAAACTGGTAGCAGCAGCGGTGAGAGGCTCCGCCCACCCGCCTGGACGTCCTCAAATATGATCTGAGCATGCGCAGAAGTGGTGCATGCGTGAGTGAAGTGTGTGTGCGCACGTGAGCGAACCAGTAGCAAAGGTAAGTGAAACCCATCCCTGAAATAGGCAGTTTTTGGAATTGGAAAGACATAATTTAAGATTTGGTTGATACAGCTATTTGTGGTACAATAAAGTTAAGGTTAATATAGATAGATGTGCCATATTGAGAATTTAGAATAGATATAAGGCAAAATGTCTCTTAAAATCCATGTATGTTTGTCACACCAAGATCGTTTGAGAAGGGAAATGGTATTTAAACAAAAATGGTTAACATGTTGATCTGCTGATCTGTTGGAAGGTTTTACATGTCGTTGGTTTCCCTATGCTTAGTTAAGAAGAAGATTTAAGCTTGATAAGAATTATGAATTTGAACATGGTAAGACTAAATTTGATGTGGAGTTGTGTATAAATGATGATCATTTTATTGCTAAGATGTATAAACTTTTATTGAAAAAGAAACAGGATGAACAAATTAAAATCTGTGTGATAAAACGGGCAATTTTTAAAAATAAAATATACATTTGCATCAATGGAAGAGTATGTGGAAGAGGGGGTTGAATTTAAGATTATAATTCAATATAAAATTATTCAAGAGAATTTTTATAAAATGATGTACTGCTGGTATATGACACCAGATAAGCTACCATAAATATACAGGGATTTTCTAATATTCATTGAAAATGTAATCAAACTGAGGGTACACTTTTTCATCTTTGATGGACATGCAAGAAAGCTAGGAAATATTGGGATCAAGCATATATTCTGATGCAGAAGATTTTAAAAGTTAATGTGCAATTGAAACCAGAGATTTTTTTTGGGGGGGGGGGTTTAATGGACACGCAAATGGAAATCATCTTATGGAACATCACTTTTATATATGATAACAACAGTGAGATTTTTATATGCTACAAAGGTGGAAAGACTTACAAATACCTATAATGGAAGAATGGATAGTGAAGCTGATGGAATTGATGGAGATGATGAAATTGACTGCTTTGACTAAAGAAAACACTGACTTAATTTAATTCTACTTGGAAACTACTTTTGGAACTTTGTGAAACATTGAAAGAAATGAAATGTTAATTTTGGGATCTGCTGATTAGAATTATACAGTATTATAAGAATAATATGGATGGGTGGGTGGGTGGATGGATGGGAAGGGAAGGGAAGAAGGAAAGGAAGAACCTCAGACCTCTTGAAAATTTTCAGAATTTGCTGGTGAATTCCCAGATACCAAATGATCAGAGTTCCTTTTCCATTGTAATTAACTATGTCTGCTGTGTCTATTTCAGCAAAAAGAGATTAATCTCCATGGCACTATGCAATTCCCATGACATGTTTTTAACTTGATAAGCGAGTGAAGGTTTCATGTGTCCTGAGAATAACAAAGAGTCTATTGATGAGTGTCTTAAGGAAGTTGGATTTAGCACAAAATTGACCCAGGTGAAAAGGAAACAGGATGAACAAATTAAAATCTGTATGATAAAATGGGCAATTTTTAAAAATATAATTATATTTGTATCAATGGGAGAGTATGTGGAAGAGGGGGTTGAATTTTGAAGTTCGATTTAAGCACAAAATTGACCCAGGTGTAATTCCCCATAAATATCTAACTCCCTTCATGTCATGCAGACTATTTATCTGAGAGTTAATTTCAGAGTTTCTGCTGGGACCTCAATTCTTGGGTTGTATGTTCCTCTGTGTACCTCCTGTCTCCTCCACAGAGGGTCACCAAAAATAGAAATGTTTGTTAGAGACCTATGTAAAGAGTGATCAATAATAAAAACTGATCCTGTAAAATAGACATAAGTGAGAGTTTATTATCTGTTTAGCTCTTAGATCAAATATATTTCTCCTGCTTATACTGTTCATCATTTGGGGTGGGGGGGTAATTAAATAATATTGAAATTCTGTGGGTTATACATTTTTAAATGTATGTAAAGATATGAGCAGTGAAATTGCTTTTGTTGAACTAACACTTGTAAATGATGACATTTAAAGTAAACCAACACTTCAGCACAAGTTGCTTACTGATGTGGTATTGTTGTTTAGCTTTTTTTTTTTTTTTGCTGCTCACAATATCTATTGTGAGAACTCCAGTAGTATCTCCCTATTAAACCTATTCTTCTAATGTTCATCATTGCATACATTTTCTCCCTAGTAATGGCATAACTTACTGTAGTTTTGCCATTTGATTGAAGAGAATCTGGGTACATTAAGCTTCTACATAAGACAAGACTGCTCTATTGGACCAGATTTCTCTTTTGGACCCTATTTTCAAATTGGTTGACAAATTAATGAGAATGTGATATATTATACTTTTCTGCAGTTACTCTGATATAGGGGCAAAGAAACCTGAAAGAAAGAAGAGGGATGAGGTGGTGAGTATCTCATCAATGCATATTCAATAATTTTCTGAAGAAAACAGTGACTCCATTTTATCAATTTATCATGTACCAACTTAATTTAATTCAGTATGTTATGGTTTAGTAAAATATAGAAATCCTTTGCCATAGAGAGTTCATATATTTATCTTTCATTTGAATACCACACAGCCTATTAAAAAGCTATAATTGGTTGATAACCCATAATATATGAAATACACACACACATATATGTTTATCAACCAATTGTAGCATTTTACTGGGCTGCGTTGTAGTCAAATGTAGGTTAAGTATATGCTCTCTCTCTCTCTCTCTCTCTCTCTCTCTCTCTCTCTCTCTCTCTCTCTCTCTCTCTCTCTCTCTCTCTATATATATATATATATATATGTATATGTATCCGTGGTAAAATATAAAATTTGTTACTACCGGTTCTGTGGGCATGGCTGGGTGGGGGGTGGGGGTGGGGGTAATGTGACTGGGTTGGCGTGACCAACTTTTTTTTATTTTTTATTTTAAAACCATTTTTTCTACAACCTCTTCGGCCGAAGAGGTTGTAAAAAAAAAAAGCTTTTAAAAGCCTCTGAAGATCAGGCAACTCAGCTGGGATCGTCAGAGGCTTTTAAAAGCATTTTTTCTACAACCTCTTTGGCTGAAGAGTTTGTAGAAAAAATGCTTTTAAATTTTTTTTTAAAGCAACTGATGATTGTGTGGGTCAGCTGGGCATGGGCGGGGCGCAGGGATGTTTGCTACCGGTTCTCCGAACCACCTGCCGCCATTGCTACTGGATTGGATGATCTGGTCCGAACCGGGAGCACTTAATCCCTGATATATAGATAGAGAGAGAGAGAGAAGTAGAAGGAAAAAGTAAACATATCAAAAGTCGCAGTCATTGGAAGAAGCAAATAATTTGATCCTTGAACTACAAAGCCAATGTATACAATTGACTGATTTGTAAAATTATGAAAAACATGCTTCACAGTAATTATAGGCCTATTAATAGTTTAAAACCATGCTATATAATGGAAAACCTCCTCCTCCTCCATTATCATCTCTGAGGGCCAAAGAAAGAACATGACCCACAGAGTCTCTCCCACAGAGAGGGTCTCCTCAGGGTGCCATCAGCCAAGTTATGTCGGCTGGCGACACCCAGGGGGAGGGCCTTTTCTGTGGGAGCCCCAGCCCTGTGGAATGAACTGCCCCCGGAAATACGCAAGATCTCCGACCTCCGAGTGTTTCGTTGCGCACTGAAGACCCTGTTGTTCCGCCAGGCAGGGCTATCAACTTAATAATTTTAATTGGGGTATTTTAAATGTTTGGGGTTTTAAATCGGCCAAATCTATGTAATTATTTTAATTTTTAATTATTGTTGTGTGTTGTGTTTTTAAATTGGCTGTACACCGCCCTGAGTCCTTCGGGAGAAGGGCGGTATAGAAATAAAATTATTTATTTATTTATTTATTTATGACAGTGACATTCTAGAGGTGCACATTAAGACTGTAATGTGACAAAGTCTATTGTAAGATCCTAAACATTGCATTTTACTGAATAATTCAAGAATATTCAATCTGTGGTTTAGGGTAATGTACAAAATCAATCATACAATTGTGGAATTGGAAATATCCATATCAGCACCTTACATGAAGCTGGTGAATGTACAAAACTTATTCAGAAGTTTCCAGTGAAGCAAACATTGCAATGAATTCAACATTCCCTGTGGAATACAATTCAAAATATTTCTAACCTTTTAAAATAAAAACAGTAGGGGGGAAAACATATCCCTTGCTTGCTCCCGTGTTTTTCACAAGGGAGCAAGAATGGAACTCTGGTTTCTGATGGAAAAGAATGTTTTAAAAATTGAAAGTAATTGTAATTTATAAAACAACAAGTCGTGGGACTTTATGTGTAAGAACTATGAGTGCCGTTCAGTCTGTACAATCAAAGCAAAATCTTGGATAATATTTCTTAAATTCTAAAGGAATTTTTTTTTGCAATACATTCTGGTCAGAATTTGAATAATTAGAAAAGTACTTGGATTTCAAATCTGGTGTTGTCTACAGCTGTGCAGATATCTGGGGCAAACATGATCTGACCTTTAAGATTCTGGAGTCTTTCTGTTTCTTGCAGATTCGACCAGTAGTCCATAGTAATATAAAAGTTCCTTCCAAATGGCAATCAATTTATAATAAACCAAGAAATATTAAGTGAGTATTTATTTTTAAATTTGTTACGACTGTAAGTTTGTAAGAGTTCTTACATTGCTATTTATGTCCAACTGAAAAAGTATATATGAAGATGGCTTGAGGGTTGGGCTAGAATTCAGATCCCTGGTTCAATATAGAATAATAAGATGGATAAAAATGCCAAATTCATTATAAACATCTGGATGACTATATGACCAATCATAATAACTTTATATTAAATTTTTGGGCAATCTAACTCTAAAGTGACTCTGGGTGGCTCACAACAGTCAAAAAAGTAAGTTTGGGCCTAATTATGCTTCTTTCTTACTTGCCTCACAGGGCTTTTCTGGGGATAGGGGAAGACAATTTTGCATGCTGCTCTGGACTCTGGAGCAGATGTGGGATCAAACAAAAAATAAAAAATAAAATCATAAGCCAAATTTCTCCAATCTGGTATCTTCCAGGAATATTTGTTTATCTGATGGGCAAAGGCTTGCAAGCAAATAAAAGAGGTCAGTTTGGTTTATGTAGGAGCATCCAGATTCCAGACATTAGTTTTACTTGTTTTTTGTTGCAACAAGACTCCAATTGGAGCACTTTAGCAAACAGCAAATTCTTTTTTATATAGAAGATCCTGAGAAATTCATATATTATGTTTTCAGTACTGACCTCTGAGTAATTTATTCATCTCATTTCCTTGAAATTACAAGGATGAAGCTACTTTGATAAAGTTAGCACTAATATCAATCTTAGTTTTTCAAACTTTTGGGATATATAAAAAGGAAAAAGAAGGGACAATGTTTTACAATGTTTATAAATGGCTTGACTATGCCTTTATTTTGATCAGATAATGAATCTTTCCTTAAATGTATTTAAGTGCCACTAAAATTTATTTCAACAAAGAAACTTTAATATGTGTATAATGACAGTTCCACTAGATGGCCCCAAATATCTTATAAATGCAACTTCCATTGCTTTAGAATCCTGTTTTAAAGAATCAGTCAGACATAAATATTTGGCCTGAAACCAGATTTACATAATTGATTTAGATGGTTAGTGAATACATTGTGATTTTGGTATGTTGCTGTACTAAGAACGATATTGGAATGTTTTTTCTAGATAATATGCAACAGTTTTAATAATACTTAGAGCAACAATCTACAGTTGCTGCAAATAGTTTCAATGAAATATTGCTATAGATAAAGAAGTAGGATGTGAAACTAAAAAGTAGATTAATTTTCCAGAACTATATTGTACATTGGTATCACAGTATTCTTCAACCCTTGAGGTTGAGTTGTATTTTATACTTTTTCATGTAATGGAACAGATACACACTTAAGTAAAATGCTTAAGGGAGTTAACAGCAGTATTGAGAACAATGCTTTGCATAGCAAAGCTTGTTATAAATTCTCTTTTCTTACACACATGTATGATTTTTAAAAGAAAAAGTGGAAGAATGGAAATATATATATATATTCCCGTCTGTCTGTCTGTCTGTCTATCTATCTATCTATCTGATAAATGATCCAAATTCACTCTTTTTAAACAAAGATTTTTGTATCCACATCTCAATCATAGTTTCTTAGGAGCATAAGTCCCATTGATTTCATTTTAACCATATCTGGATTAGCATGCTTAAGTCCCACAATAATTCCATATGTAGTTATAGGTTGAGGAAGAAACATTCTCTAATACAGGTCTCAGTAGAAAAACCAATTGATTTTATTAGCTTTTTAAAAGAATTGCACTTTATTTCCTCTGGGAATTGTTGAGGGCATCTTCAGTTGCTATAGAGAGAAAATAAAATTTCAAAAGCCAAACCTTGAGTTCTTCAACTAGACATATTTATATTTTTGAAATATGAACATTAACAACCTAAGGAGTTTAGAATTTATTCAATAAATTAAGATTTAAAATGTATTGCTGGATGTGGCTGGATCCTTAATGAAACATCATCAAAATGATTTGCTTACGTATTTTCAATAATTCCTATTAAAATTAGGTTTATATATTTTTGTTTTTGACAGTGTTTTCACAAATGGAGATCTCTTGATACCGCCCATGAAAATCCTTATACCTAGATTTACACTAAATTATTGGAATAGTGTCCTTGCACTTGTAAATGAAAAAGTAATTCCTCGCTCTGGGGGTATTCGTAGGTAAGTTAGTCTTATAGTAACCTTCTATTAGAAGAATGAAAAATGCGATTAAGATAGGTGACTTTTAATAACCACAACCAAACAGATCACACAGATCCAACAAAACCACTTCCAGGAATGCAATTGCCTCCCCCCCCGGCAACCCGCACCCCCCCCTAAATATGGAGCCACCTGAATACAATCAGGACAGGCCATGCCATGCCATGCCAGAACTAAAGCAAAGCTCTTTAAGTGGGGAACAAACTATAACACATATAGTTCAAAAATGCCTCGTCAGGAAATTTCAAAGCACATGGGATGATCTCATTGCAACCACACCAGAAGCAGTTAGATGATTAGCTTCCTTAGATATTGAAATATAACATCTATCCTATTGGAATTCTATGGCTCCATATTATAGTAATGTTATTATGGTTTTACCTTAATTTAACATTTTATCTCCTATATTGTATTGTCCACATATCGTTTATGTGCATATGTATGTGTATGTATATGCTGATGCTTTACTTAAACTAAATCTGTATATCGGTGATAGCATGACCTCTGATGCCATATGCTAAATAATAATAAATAGTAACCTCCTTATAAGAGTGGACTTAATATATTATTTTTGGCCCTTCCTAAAAGTACAGTTAAATTAGAACTTTTAAGGAAACTATAATAATCAAAATAATAGATTTTGCAGGAATTTAAGACAGGGTTGACAGTCTGTTATTTATTAAAGTGAGCTGCTTTTTGCAGGCTTCCATGTGAGCTTAAAAAGAAAGATAAAGTAACATGATTAATGAAACTCTTACAACAGAATTATCTTTGTCTCAGGCTTACACACAATCCATGCTTGTGCTTACACAAGTTCTGAAGTAGTTTTAAATTGTTTTTGAAGCCCTAATCTCTACCACCAAAGGTACTAATACTTTAGAAGAACATTGCTGCTGAATCAAATGTAATAAAATGTTTTGCGAGTGGCTAAATACTAAACACTCTATCAAGATATGAGGACAATAATTCTCACACCCTGTTGTTGGTACTAGTGGTGGTAAATACCATATTTCTTAAATTTTCATCGTTTGCCCAGATTACTGCCAAATTGACATCCACTGCTGGGAATCCTCTCTCTCCCTAAACTATACTTTAAATTAGGACTTACAAAGTAAACATGATTTATAGTGAAACATGTATGCTTGAGTTAAAAGTTCAAACTGTTGTTATTGTTGACAAAGGAAGAAAGAAAAAGTAAGGTTCTACATTTAGGCAAGAAAAATCAAATGTACAGGTATAGGATAGGTGGTACGTGGCTCAACAGTAGTACTTGTGAGAGGGCTCTTGGAGTCCTAGTGGACAATCATTTAAATATGAGCCAGCAGTGTGCTGCAGCTGCCAAAAAAGCCAACACAGTCCTAGACTGCATTAATGGAGGGATAGAATCAAGATCACGTGAAGTGTTAATACCACAATGTAAAAAAGATGTTGAGACTCAAGAAAGAATACAGAGAAGAGCAACAAAGATGATTAGGGGACTAGAGGCTAAAACATACAAAGAATGGTTGTCTGGAATTGGGTATGTCTAGTGTAATGAAAAGAAGGACTAGGGGGTTACATGATAGCAGTGTTCCAATATCTCAGGGTTGCCATAAAGAAGTGGGAGTCTACAAAGCACCTAAGATAGGACAAGAAGGTATGGATGGAAACTAATCAAGGAGAGAAGCAACCTAAAACTAAGGAGAAATGTCCTGATAGAACAATTAATCATTGGAATGGCTTGTGGATGCTACAACACTGGATGTTTTTAACAAGAGATTGGACAGCCATTTGTCTGAAGTGGTATAGGGTTTCCTGCCTGAGCAGGGGGTTAGACTTGAAGACTTCTAAGCTTCATTCCAACTCTGTTATTCTGAGGATCTTTTCGGTTTTGTAAACCATCGTTTGGAAGAATCCATTGTCTAATTTGTTTTTGCTCTTGAATATTTAAAACTCTTGTCAGTTTGCATGCAAGTTGAAGGAACATGAGATTTCTACATGCATCTGGGGTGCATGATTTGGCTTACAACTTAAGTAACCACATTTCTTTGCAGCATTGCCAATGGATAGCACTGCAAGCTTCAGGTAAGCTGTTTTTTTCTGTACTTGCCTTTAACTTGCAGTAAAGATCTAATCTTGATTTACACTGAAAGGTATTTTAATGTGTATTGCTTTTTTCCACCCAGCCTAAAATTTGGAGTTGAATGCAATGTTTACCAATTTTCTCAATATTAGAACCAGAAAATTATCTCTCCACTTTGGTCATTGTTTCTATATATTTTTATAGTTATTGTTTCTTAATTCTCTTTTTATAATAATTCCATTCTGTTCCTTCTTGGATCTGGAGGTCCCTCAAGTTTACAGTACTTCTCTCTGTTTTGGTTTTACATAATTGAAGACCAAAGATAGAATTCAAAATATAAAAACAAACATTTCATGGTGAGTAAAGTTTATAATGTCACTTAGGTATACTTATACCCATATTAATTTCCTCTTCTTTGTAGATTGTTTACTTTAAATGGTCAGCCTATACATGGACCTGATAAATTAGAAGATAACCAATTTTATGTTGCATGTGGCAAAGAAAGATTTCAGCGTTTGCCATACTGGCAACATCCTAAGGTTCCAGAAAATATTCGTCGGTAAGCTGGGACTTATCTAAACTGATCTTTTGTAGCTAGTTGCTGAAAACCAGCTCTAGCTGAGCCAAAAACCTTATTTTTCCTAGAGTTAATATAAAGATTTATGATTACTTGGATTGCATATATATTGCAGGAGTTATTTTTTTAAAAAATTTTTTTGGCTGAAATGAAAAATATGAAGTTGATCTGCAGATTTAACTGTTTAAATCTTCCTTTAACCCAAAGCTTTTTAAATACACTCATTTGTCTCTATTACTTCTAAATTGTTTAATATTAGTTTGCTGGAATAATAAAGTACTTGTTTAATATATATAATATGATAGCTTAATTGTTAATATGTCAATAATATTGAGTTAAATCATTCAAAGATTTTTTAAAACAATGGTATCTATCTCTTTGTTGCTGTTCCTTTATTTTTTAATTATTGAAGGCATGCTTCTAATTAATATATTAGTCACTGATTTTATTATTTTGTTCCATATATGCGATATGTAAAATATTATAAAGCAAGCTCTAATTCCCCTGCCATTCCATAATGAACAGATACCATTTTTTAAAATTTAATACATTCCATAATGTATAGATTTGGAGATGATTCCTATAGGGAATTAAAAAAACACCACTCTTGTATTCTAAATAATATATTTCTTTTAAGTGGATAGCAGGGAGTTCTTCTATTGTCTTTAAGACGTTCTTTGTCTTCCATGAAAAACCTAGATTGAATCTACTAGCTAACAATAGAGACAGTACTCTAAATAGAGTTGAACAGCCTTTAAAAATGTGGAAATCCAAACTAAGTTAGGTTTATTTTAATCATTTTTTTTCTGTAATATTTCTAATGGTGTCTCTTTTTTTTAACCTTCTGTTTTATCTCATGGAATTGAACCATCTCTGCTGGATTCTTCCTTTCTAGGATCAAGATCAAGTCATGTTGATTTGATAAGCTGTAGTAAACTTCAGATCTAGTGAGGGGGAAAAAAAACACTTTGTAATCCACTCAAAATTATCCAGAGATTCACAGCTAGCTATTTTCAGTGCATTCAGTTCAGTTCATTGCTGGAGATTCAGCTTCAAAAACATCTATTCTTTATCATGATTTTTATGATTCACAGAGCTGCATTAGGAACTTTCCAGAGCTTGGTGAGGGCATGTTAGTCCTTGATCTCTTTGTTTTGTTAACAGTTATTATATAGTTTATTGCCATACAGAACCTGTTTTGCTAAGTGTCAACATTGCAAAAGTAAACTTAGGAAAAATAAAACACAAACTGAGTTTCTTTTTTTTTTTAATTTGATTTATATGCCGCCCTTCTCCAGGGACTCAGGGCGGCTTACAAAGCGTTAAGCTATAATGCATTGTAAGCCGCTTCACTGAAGCAAATAACTTTGCTTCAGTGAAGATCATGCAGTACAATCTTGTAATTATTCTTCACACTTGTTTTTATTTATTTTATTTATTTTGTCAAACATGTACGAGATAACAGGTATAAGTATAAACATGGACAAGAACATAGGAAACGAGTATAAATAAATGGGGACAGTAAGACAGGGACAGTAGGCATGCTGGTGTGCTTATGCACGCCCCCTTTACGGACCTCTTAGGAATGGGGTGAGGTCCACAGTAGACAGTTTAAGGTTGAAGCTGTGGAGGTTTGAGGATGTAACAACGGAGTCAGGTAGAGCAGTCCAGACGTTGACCACTCTGTTGCTGAATTCTTATTTTCTGCAATCGAGTTTGGAGCAGTTTACCTAGAGTTTGTATCTATTGTTTGCCCATGTATTATTGAGGTTGAAGCTGAAGTAGTCATTGACAGGCAGGACATTGTAGCAGACAATTTTGGGTACTATGCTTAGGTCAGACCATAGGCGAGGTAATTCCAGGTTGTCCAGGCCAAAAATTTCGAGCCTGGTGGCATAAGGGATTCTATTGTGAGCAGAGGAATGGAGTATAAAATAAAATAAAATAAAATAAAATAAAATAAAATAAAATAAAATAAAATAAACTTAGGATGAGCACAAACTGAGTTTCTTTGCTTCAGTGAAGATCATGCAGTGCAGTCTTGTAATTATTTTCCCCGCTTGTTTCTCCCACTTTGGCCATTTTGGGTAGTAAATTCAAAAGCAATAGACTCGAAAACCATTGTAGTGCTCTGATTTAACTACCAATGAATGCCCCCCCCCACACACACACTTCAGTACATAATCTTTGATGTTTGCAGCAAACTAAAAATCACCCAAATTGTTCCGTACTACATACCATATTCAGTATGCACTTTCAAATGGAAGGAGAGCCCCATCTATTAAGTTTTGAAAGTGCAAGTAATAAGAAGCAGAAGAGATTACATAACAGGCAACAATCTAGTTTTTTTAAAAAACAACAACAACAATGCACCAAAGTTTATTATTTTTTGTGCGGAAAAAAATCACAGATTTGTCATTTGCAATTCTGCTGCAGTTGGTAAAACATACCTGCAATAGGAAACCACCATAAAATATGGAATTGTATAAGGTGATCCTTATGAGGTAAAAGCCCATGAAATGTAAGTTTATGGTTTTTATAACGTTACAAGATTCTTTGTTGTTTAGCTACTACCTAATGTCACCCTAAAATTTCTTTTCTTCAGATGAAGAATATTTGCCCACTAAAAAAAACACAGCATAAAAAGTATGCAAGCATGTTTTCTTCTAGGGGGCCTCCTTAACATCACTATATAGATAACATTATGAAATAGTGGAAATTGTTTAAGAAATTAGCAGCTTATATAAGTGACTGTTTGAATATCAAGTGACATTTGTAACTTGAGGAAAAAATATGGGAAGTGGGTATTTCTTTATAAGCTGGTGATTACACAAATATTTTCATGCTTCTCAGTATCATCATATTTTTCCAAGAAGAATGAAGTTGATAAAAGTAGCCAAACAAATAGAAAGTTTAAGTGTTAGTTTATAGTCTAGAAATGTGTGCACGTTGATGGATTGAAATCAAGAGGGTTGGAGATAAGGCTATAGTTACTTAATGAGGTAGTTAGAAAGCTGTTAGGAAGACTAAATTACAAGTATATCCAGCCTAAAATATTTTAATTGGTTTGACTCAGCATTTTTCAAGTATAGACTAGGATGCACAAACATAAAATATCAATAAGATGAACTAATTCCACAAGATATTTTCTGCATTCTCACTGAAACTTTTATGGGGCTGAAATACATAGCTGTAAATTAACATGAGATCAGTAAATGATATTTTTACTCCACATCATGCCAATTTGTTTATTTATTAAAAGAAACTTTTTAAAAAATCAGGTGAGACAAAGACAATGAAGGGCAACAAAGAAAGTATCTAGCGAAAATTGTGCCTATAGGCCATATGAAGACAAATTCCAAAAATAAAGTTATGGATGGACTGTAATAATAATACTGGGGCATGTTAAACTTTAAACTTAACTTAAACATGTTAAAAATTCAGCAATGAATGGCTTCAGAACATACCAGAATGTTCCATTCTGTTCCAGACATTACCAGAGTTCTCTAGAACATGATGTTTTGTGGGTGACTTGGCAATTTCTCAAAGTAATTGCCAAACTATTATCTGGAGCTGATTTGCAAAGTCCTGGGAGTGGTCTAGCTCTGAAACATGCCTGTTTCATTCAGAACTTTGTGGGATCTGAAATGTTCCATTCCCTTATCTCTATGTACTGCCCATCCTGAACAGTTTAGGTTGCAAGCAGTCTGAATTGTTTCACATCAGAAAGGAAAAACAGGAATGAAGTGCTTTCAGGACAGTATCTAGCGGTAAATAAATTTCATTTACCTGAAAGATAAAATCTAGGAAGAAATGTTAGGTACGAAAACTAGATCATGCCCTTAAATTAGGAGCGAACAATGTCTAGCATTGAAATGTTTAGGGTACAGCCCTAGAATTCTGCCAAAAGATGTCAGCATATTGAAAGTTTTAGTGTGACCTACTGATAAATGTCTAGGGAATATGTGATGAATAATTATACTATATTAATTAAATTTAATTTAATTAAACTAAATTTGAACAAATTTAGTTTTTATCCTAGCTTTATTGATTTTTTTCCCTTTAGCCCAGGCTCATAAAAGATTGTATACAACTGCAAATTCTTAAATCCCAAGATGTCTGTGAAAAGTTTTCTATTCTATCACCTTTCTACTTCTTTAAAAAATTGTTCTCATGCTCACTACTGAGATTATAGTAGTTTGTGATCAACTAATCTAAAAATTATTTATGAATCTGAATGGTAGTTCTTAACTCTATTAAATAAAGATAATTACAATAATATGATTTACAGTTACATTTATAAATAATTATTTAGGTAAATTGTCCTTTGCATTTTAGGAATTTTTTGAATTCACCAGAACCTTCAGAAAAACTCCCTCTGAAAAAGGTAAGAATTTGTTTTAAAATACTATGAAATATGCAGTGCATATATAACATTAACTCTGAATACTGCTTGAGCTCCATTAAGTCTTGCCGTTGAGCTAAATTTATATGGGCAAACACTCAGTCTAAATGATTTTTAGTTACTACTTTACTATTTTTGCATATCATTTATTACAAAATATAATACCTTAGCATCACAGCACAAATGTTATTCTTGCCTTGTGGCAATGCAAAAAGCAAAATCTTGGTAAACCCAAAAATATAATAGTCAAATACATCAACTCACTAGCAACCAGTTTGTTATAAGTGCAGTTTATACAAGAAAGAGGATCATTCTTGAATTTGGCTGTTTGTCCAAATCTAATGGCACTAATTCTTCAGCATCATATAACCAATTGACCACAATGGGTAATAGGGTGTAAATATAGAGTTAAGGATTTACTCTGTGTCCACTCTTAGTTTGCTGATGTAACATCCTACCTTTCTTCCTTATCATACATACAGAATACAGGATTTTGGGCTCTCCTGCTCATCACCGTATTAAGCTAGGTGCTGGCAGATGCAGGATAGCAGGGGCTGCAGAGTGCAAGGAAACAGAACAGAATAACCAAGTTGGAAGAGAAAAGGGACCTTGGAGGTCTTCTAGTCCAGAGGTCACCAACTGGTGGTCCACAGTGCACCCGGGTGAATCAGGTGTTTCGGGATGACCAATGGGCCAGTCCTGTGACTAGAGCTCTGGAATATGGGACCAGCCAGGCAGCTTGTGGTGGGGCTAGAAATCTCTGCCGTAGAGTGTAGTATGTGCAACTTGCAACTTTGCTGGTGGTGCAACGTGCAAGGAGTAGTGCAGCCCTCGCCGACCGGAACGAGGTAAAGATGCTATTGCGGCAAGGGGTGGTGATGGCAGTGCAGGCGGGCCGAAGCAGCAGGTGTCGGCAACCTGCAGCTCTTTCATCCCCCTGCTGTGGATCTCTTTTGGCTGAACCCACCTGTGGCTGGCCCCGCCCCTCGCCCTCCCCTCCCAATCACTCCTCGCCTGGCCTGAGAAGGTAAGGGTGTTGGCGGCGAATGGAGACTTGTTCAATATTCCAGAGTGGGAGTGAAGCGCCCCTGTAGTTTCTTCATCTCTTGCTGGGTCTTGCGGGCGCTTCCGGCCCTTTTTGGTGCTGCATGCACCTCAGTTGCTCGGAGAGACACATGACTTCCTCTCAGCCTTGAGACACTGGCTCGGCCCAGCCGTTTCTCTCTGCCACTGCTGTTGGTTCCTCCATTGCCTGCCCACTGCTCTTGCAGCACCTTGCACAGCACAGTTAAATGTAGCACACTTCACAATGGGGGCGATGGCATCACCTCCTCCTCCTGGAGCCCATTACAATGCAGAGCATCGGCTGCAGCCTGGTCGGGTGAGTGTCTTAGGGCAGAGAGCAAGGTCATGCATCTCCCCAAGCGACCGAGATGCGTCCAGCATCAACAAAGGTTGAAGAAGCACCTTTGAGACCGAGAGAGTGCCGGAGAATCAGAATGAGAGAGAGATGCGAGAGAGACATGAGAGAGAGACAGAGAGACAGGTGAGAGACAGACAGACAGACAGACAGACAGACAGAGATAGAGAGACAGAGAGATGAGAGAGAGAGACAAGAGAAAGACAGAGATGACAGAGAAAGACAGAAAAAGACAAAAAGCGATACAGAGAGAAAGAGACAGAGAGAGAGAGAGACAGAGTATGAAAGAGAGACAGAGAGAGATGAGAAGAGAGATACTTGTGTCCCATAGAAAAGAAGGCATCAGGAGCCACAAAACCTGGGTAGGCATGGCTGGGAGGGAGGGTCATGTAACTGGGTGGGAGTTGAGTTGGTCATGCCCACCCAGGTTTTGTAGCTTCTGGTGTATTGTTTTCTGTGGGAAACGGGTCAAATGCGCTGGATTCATATTAGTGGTCCACGGGATTTAAAATTATTAATTTAGTGATCTCTGAGGTCCGAAAGGTTGGTGACCCCTGTTCTAGTCCAAACCCTTGCTCAAGCAGGAAACCCTGTACAATTTCAGACAAATGGTTGGTCCAATCTCTTCTTGTAAATTTCCAGTATTGGAGCACCTGTAACTTCTGGAGCAAGTTGTCCCACTGATTAATTGTTCTAACTGTCAGTAAATTTCTCCTTAGTTCTATGTTGATTCTCTCCTTGATTAGTTTCCATCCATTTCTTCTTGTCCTGCCTTCAGGTGCTTTGAAGAATAAATTGACCCCTCTTCTTTGTGGCAGCACCTTAGAAGGGGTTGGAGGTCATGTTAACTCTGGGCTACAATAACAGCCCAAAGTTTGAGGACAGGGCATAAAAATCATTGAGCCCCTTGTACCTTTGAACAATTGCTGAAGAAATGGTCATTAAAAATGGATATTTTCTAACAAAGGAAAGAAGTGTGCCATATGTTCTCATTCTCCAGTCCATTTCTCTTTGTTACCACTGGACCGTGAGTTGATGTAGTATATGGCTGTACTTTTTTCCTTTTTACTCTTCTTTTTACTTATTTTATTTTTTATTTTACTTATTTTGCCTTCAAGTCAGTATTGACTCTTGGTGATTGCCTTGACTAGTCCCTGCATTTTCTTGGCAAGGTTTTGGAAGTGGTTTGCCCTTGTCTCCTTTGTAGGGCGAGAGTGATTGGCCCAATGTCACCCAGTTTACTTCGTACCCAAGGCAGGACCCCTGTGCCTAAGAGAGAACTAATGTTGGGTCTTCCCACTTGCAATCCAACATCATAACCTCTATACCACACTGGCACTCCAGAGCAGAGAGAGGGAGAGAGAGAGAGTTCTGAACCCCAAAGAAATAAATCCATCATTTTGGGATTTGTATTTGTTGCAGCCTCCTATAGAAGGACCTAAGCAAAGAGATCGCATTGTGACTCCCATAGAAGTATCACGACAAGGAGGAGGAGATAGGATCTCCGTTTATTATGCCAAATCTGACAAAGCAAGGCAAGAAAGACAGGCTCCTAGACCTGTGTCTCCCAATGATGGTAACATGACATAATGTAGCTGGTGCCTAAGATTTCAGAATGACATTGGGTCTTTTCCTACTTGCACTTAATTATGGCCCAGATTTGATCTGGGAGTTAAGTCATCCTTCACTATACTAGCATTAAAGTCATGTTTTTCCCTTACTCCAGCTTCAAGATGTATAAAATCTATTAAGCTTTGTCACCTTTACTTTGGAGCAGTGTTTGTCAACCACAGTAGCTTTAAGCTGTGTGGATTTCAATTCCCAGAATTCTTCAGACAGCATGGTTGGCTGAAGAATTCCGGGTATTGGTCCAGAGAGATCCATCCCTCGGCTGCTATTTTGTGATGTGCTGCAGGGCTCAATATTTTCTCCTCTCCTTTTCAACATCTGTATGAAATCACTGGGCAACATCATCCGTCATCAAAGGTTGAGGTATTTACAGTATGCCTCTACTCTTGGTGATCCAAGTGATGCTATGGCTGCTCTCTCACGGTGCCTGGAGGCTGTGGGAGCCTGGATGGAGGAAAAACAGGCTTTGGCTGAATATTTTTGGGTACCCGGAGCTCCAGGATCTGGGACTTTGTCATCTTTGACTCTGGATGGGGTGGCACTGCCTCAATCAGTTCTGGACTGCAACTTGGGGGTTCTCTTGGACTTGTGACGCCTGCTCGAGGAGCAGGTAGCTATCACAGCTAGGAGAGCCTTTGTACAACTTTGTGTTGTGCACTAGTTGTGGCCTTTCCTGGATCAGGATTTCCTGCGCTCAGTTCCTAGTCATCTCATGGTTGAACTATTGTAATGAGCTCTACATGGGGCTACCCTTGAAGAGCATTCAGAGACAACAGCCGGTGCAGAGTGCACTGGTAAAGGCAGTTTTGGGGGCCCCAAGAATAGCCCCTATAACACCACTGCTCCACAAACTGCATTGGTTGCTGGTCTGTTTCTGGGTGTAATTCAAGATGTTAGTGATGACCTTTAAAGCCCTTCATGGCATGGGTCCAGTTTGCTTGAGGGAGCATCTCACCACACTGGGATTGACCCATCCCACTCATGCTGGCAGAGGAGGTATGCTGTGGGTCCCTTCAACCCGATTATTCTGGCTGGCAGGGTCTGGGAGGAGGGCCTTCTCTGCTGTTCCTTTTGCCCTCTGAAATATCTTGTTCCTCTCCTAAGTGAGGTTGGCCCCAACGTTCCTATCCTTTCCTAAGGGCCTTTCGTAAGGGCCTAAAGACTTGGCCCTGCCAGTTGGCTTGGAGTCCCAATGTGGGAACAGCATAGTTGATTGATTAGTGATTGATCGAGTAACAACAGATTCCACCTTTCCCCATTCCACCCCTGTCCTTCCCACCTGTCCTTGATTTTAAACTTGGTTTTAATTTATTCTTGTTTTAAGGTAGATATATTTTTTTATTATTCTTACAGTAAGAGTTATCTTATGGTAAGAGAGGTGGCCAATACAATTTATAAATAAATAAATAAATAAACTATAAATAAATAGAAGTCCACATACTTTAACATTGCTGAGGTTGAGAAACACTGCTTTGGAGAGAAGTAAAATGTCGGCAATGATTAGGAACAGAGACAATAGATATAAGATAAGGACTGCCAGTGAAAACAGCAACTTTCACACAATATTCTTTCTGAAGGGATGGATGGACAGCAGTGGGAAAAGGCCCTTTGTAATTGTACTCATGTATTCTTCTTGTGCTTGAGAAATGAATATAATTGGTGCTTACATCAAACTATTTTGGTTAATTATTTGTCACAGTAATTGCAAACAATGGTCTCCAAATTCAAGTTTCGTTTTAAATACTTCATAGTTAGTGCTATAAGCTCAACAGAAGAATTTGCTCTTCAAGAATATTAATTCTTGTTCATACCTCTTTAAATTATTTGCCTTAAAATCAGTTGTGCAAAGAAAAAGCCTCAAAATTTACATTTAGCATAGGCACCTCTTGAGCTTAAGCGACTACTTAGAGCTACAAGATTGATTTACCGTAGTTATACTTTAATTCTCAAAATATGTAATATCATTGTTCTTTAAGAATTGTGTAGCAAAAAATTCTCATTATATTTTGTACAATCTTGGTAGCCCCTTCAGACCCTGCTCATTTGCCATTGAAATTTCGCCGTAAAACCCATTGCCAAATTTCACTTGTTAATGGCTTAGATCCCATATTCAGTTACTTCAAAGCTCAGGTTAGGAACTGGAAGTTGACAAATTAAAAATATTCATTTTAAGATTCAAAGATGAATTACATTAAAATTTCAGATACATTTTGGAATTGTTTGTATTTTAAAATGCTCTCATTTCTTTTCTGGGATAAACCTATCCAATGTTTATGTATTTGTGCTTAATGTACAATTATATGAAAAAGTATATTCTTTTCTGGATTTTTGCATATCTCTGCTGCTGTTTTTATCAAAATTACACATGAAAACGGAATTTGAGTGAAGAAATCACCCAAAGGTTTCAAATTTGTTTCATTTTTTTTATAAACAGAGTCATCTGACATGTAATTTGTCAGAGTGAAAAAGTTAATCCCTCTCCTAATTTGGTTGATATAGTTAAAGAGTTAATTAGGACAACAAGTACTTCAGTAAATTGTCAGCTGATTTGATCCAGCTTTATATATCTTACACAAACTTTGATTTTTCCTAGTGGCACATTGTGCCCTACTCAAAAGAAATTTCTGAAGACCTCCATAGAAATAACATTGATATCTGCCTCTCTGGAAGAAATTACAAAATCTTATATGAAGCTTTGGGATCCACCCATCTATAGTCGGAGATATGGTTTTAAAATGAAAAGATTTGGAACAATAGGGAACAGCTATCCTGTCAAAATCTCTCCCAAGAGCATAGCATAAAATTGTTCAGAAAGTTACAAAGGACCCCAGAACAATATCTAGAAACTTGCAGTCTTCTCTAACCTTTGTTAAAATAAGTTTATAGGACTCCAACATCAAGAAAAGAAAATAAACTGAGAAAACATGAAATTCATGGGAGAATAGCAAGACAGAAGTCATGGCTCATAAAAGAACATTAATGCTCATCTCAAGTTTGGAAGAAAAATATTTGGATGACTCTCCAGACTTGTGAAGCAATGTTCTGTGGACAGATGAATCAAAAGTACAACTTTTCAAGCTACATGAGGTTATGGCATGACAATCATACCACTTGTCAATCATAGAGATGGTAGTGTCATAGTTTAGGGACACTTTGCTGCTTCAGAATCTGGATGTGCTACTATTTAAAGGAAAAGGAATTGTGTTTGTTTTGTAACATTTCCCAGAAGAATATTAGATCTTTTGTCTCCTAAATGAAGTGGAAACCATGAGGTAGTGATCCCAAACATACAAGTAAGTCTCCAAGAACATGGATAAAGAAAAACAAACTAATTATTTTGGAATGAAAAAATATCAAACTCATAAGCACCAGACAAATGTTACAGCAGACACTGAAGTGTATGGGTCACACTAGAAAACCTTCAAATTCTACTGAAATGAAGCAGCTTGCCTTGGAGAATTGGCTAACGTTCCTACTTAGTGATGTGAAGGACTGAACATTTGGATGCAGTTATCAAAGATAAGAGTGGTACAACTAATAACTGAAACTAAGGGGGCAGTGACTCTCTCACACTGGTACATCACACATCAGATGACGTTGATGCATTCATTCTCTTTATGTCTTAGTAGATCCACATGAAGAGAGCCAGTTTGGTTAAGGCTTCAGGCTAGCATTAGGGAGACCATGAGCTCTTCCCACCTGAGGCACAAACTCAGCTGAGTAGCCTTGGGCCCTATCTTTCTCAGACCTGGAAAAGAGGCAGTGGCAAACCACTTCTGAAAAAACGTTGCCAAGAAAACGGCAGGGATTATTCTTCAGATTTAAAGGCACCAAAAAATAAATGTAGCTGTAATGGAATAACAAAGTGGATAATGCTGAAGTATTTTTTCCTTAAAAGTGTAAGATGATGTCCCCTAAAATACTGTATTATACTAATATTATTGTAGAATTGCAATATTGAAAAATTAATAACGGTTTAAAACACAGTATGTACTTTTCTAATAGGAGCCTTCTTATTGCAATGAACAAATGCACGTTCACTGATGTGTGTACTTTTGTTGCTTTTTTATTATACTCATTTTGGTTCTTTGTTTTAGAAAAGAGTTACAAAAATTCAAGACTTACAGTAGTTCCTTTTTTGTGCATTTGGGTTTTAGGCAGCCCATATTGGATCAATTTGCCTTGAAATACTAATTGAACCCACACATATAAAATAAAGCTGAGTAGCTTGTAGCAGAAGGCTAAACATTTAGGAATTTAAATATTTCTATTATTTATCAATTCATGTTTCTGAAGCTGAATAATATCTCCTTTTGCTTACTCATTTACTAATAAGGATGATTCTTAATGTAAAAAATACTAACCCTAATAATTATTATTAAACAACTGTTGCTTAAAAATGAGGTTTAAATATCTGTTAGCTACAAATAACGCTTAGCAAAAACAATGTAACTGCAGTTTTCATTTATAGATATTTATGTGTACACTGTTTATGTTAGTAGTTCCATAGAGTAAGATAAACATTTCTTTTAAATTAATTTATTTTCAGAGCATAGTATCTATATAGCTCATAAATCCCCGACAGAAATTGAAGAGGCTCGTGAGATTCAAGAAGACAAAGATGTTAAAGTGGAAATACCCATTGATCAGGTGAGTTTAAAATAGATTTTTTCTGAATGAATTTTATTAGAATTTTGATTCCCAACTGCCTTTGTTTGTTTTTCTTTTAGGACTACTAATAAAGTAAAGGACCTATCATCTTGCCAACTAGATCTCCATTTCAGATTTTAAGTAGCAGACAACGTAACTTTTTTTTTTGAGGGAGGTTCTTTTTAAGTGAACATAAATTATGAGAAAATACAGCCACCAGTATTAATATGTATATTCAAAAATAGTCTATGCTATATCTTCAGAAATAAAATACTATGGAAGTGAAAATCTTAGGACGTCTCTGACTTTGTAGATTCATATCCAGCTTTGGCTTTATTAGGTACCTATTGGCCAAGTTCCACTTCAGGACTCTTGAACATTGACTTATATAATGAGAAAATACTCAAAGTCATGCCTTGTTTAGTTAAGATGATTTCCAGATGAATGACTTCCCTTACTAGTCTAAAGATGCTATGTAACTATTCCATCTTCAAAGAGGGATGTTCATATTTTTGCTGCCGTCTACTGGCCAGGTATGGTTGTGCCCCATATTTCAAAAAAACAACAGTATACAGTATATTTTATAATCATTTTAAAAAATTCTACAGGTTGTCTATTCCCTGGATTTTAATATTCCATCATTAAAGGGAGAGAATTAAAGAAAAAACTTTTTCCTGACCAAACACAATCATTAGTAAGAACTGGCTTTTTGATTTGCTGGTACAAAGTAGAGAAATCAGTTTTTAAAATCTAAATAGAACATGGCTTATTTTCTGATTGTGATAAAGTTATGCCAGAAAGCTTATGTTTTGTTTTTGTCTGGTCATGTAAATCATAACTGTATTTTATTCTAATAAAGTCTGTAGCTGAACAAGGAAATTTATTTGTATCCTGGGATTACAATGAAATGTATTAGTTTTCTTACTGGTTTTTCAACACTGGAGAGTAATACAAGGTGTTTAAACTCCAGTGCTTTTAATGGAAATAAATCACTATTTTCTTTTTTTCCTTATTTGTGATAAAATAATATAGGGTAAATTTCATTTTACTGAATTCTGTTCATGCAAATCTTAAATAGACTTTATTTCTAAACAAAGCTGTAGCACAGAGTATCCAAAATTAGAAAAGATATTTGCATCCTGGAATTAGAAAAGAACAGGTTACTTTTTGTTAATTGTTTTTAAAGTGTTTGAATTGATATTGGTTATTTCAAATGAAATCTCAGGTATAAATCCTTTTTTATCAGTTTATTTAAAAAAATATGACATTTGCCACAGGTTTTGTGTTTATATTGCTACTCGAAAGAAGTGAGTCTGAGGTTTGTTACATAGACAGTGTATTCCTCAAAAAGGAAAATAGCTGGCTGCTTTTTTCCTAATCTGTAATTGTAAAAAGCTGAAAGTTGTTTACTTTTGTTTATATAAATCTGAATTGGAATTTATGTTATCCAAGGTTCCGGCTGAGATCATCCAGGATGAGGAGATTTATGCAGATCCTGGGAGTATAAAAGAGCAGGTTTGTTTTGTTTTTGTTTTTTGTTGTTTTAAGCAATAGTTTAGTTTAGTTTAGTTTACCTTATTGACATTGCAAAATTAAATGCCATCTTCAATGTACATCATACATAAGAAAAATATAAAAATAAAACAAACACACATCCTTCACATTCTATACAATTGAATTGAAAACCACTGATACTGCATTAATATTACACTATACAGTAGAATTCAATATAGTTACTACTCTGGGAGAGAACCTGTTTTACAGCCAACTTGTTCTTGTTTTTATTATCCTGTACCGTCTGCCAGATGGTAATGTTCAAAAAAAGGGTTGCCAGGATGAGATGGACCTTTAAGAATGTTTTGAACTTTCTTAAAACAGCGGGAGGTATAAAGCTTTTCCAAGGAGGGGAGAGGGCAACCAATGATCCTCTAGGCCAGTGGTCCCCAACCCCCGGTCCGCGGACCGGTGCCGGGCCGTGGAGTACGTGGCACCGGGCCGCGCAGCGGCCGGGGGACATGAACGCTGCAGCGCAAAGGCTCCTGGGCCGTGCGCAAAAGCTCCTGGGCCGTGCGCAATGGGCCGTGCGCAAAAGCTCCTGGGCCGTGCCCCCACCCCTGCGCGTGCTCAGCGGGCCGCGGCGATAAAAAGGTTGGGGACCACTGCTCTAGGCAATGATGTTAATCCTCTGCAGCGCTGTCCTATCTGCCACTGTGCAATTGGCAAATCATACGCAGGTGCAGTAAGTTAAAATACTCTCTATAGTGCAGCGATAGAAGGTCACCAGCAGTTTTTCATTCAGTTGTTGTTTCCTGAGAAGTCTCAGGTAGTAAAATTTCTGCTAGGCCCTTTTGACCAGTGCTGCAATTTGAGTGCCCCAGATCAGGTCCTGTTATGATGATACCCAAAACCTTAAAACTGGGCACTTGCTCCACTTGTCTCCATTGATAACCAAGGGCTGAATGTCTGATCTATTCCTTCTGTAGTCCACTATAAGCTCCTTGGTCTTATTGGTGTTAAGGACCAAATTATTGTCTCGACACCATGAAAGCAACTGGTCCACCTCATCTCAATAGGCAAACTGATTCCCCCAGAGATGAGTCCCACCACTGGGACTATAGGGAATAATATTAGATATGTAAAAAGAAACCCGGATTATAATTTAATGTTTTTTTTTTTCATTTTAAAACCCAAAATAATCTTAGCAACTAAAATCATTTAGGATATTTGTCATTTGCATTTACTGTTCATAAGAAGCGGCCTTCAGGGTTGCTAACAAAGGGCAAAAGGTATAAAGGGTTTTTTAAAAAAAATAGCAGAAAGAAGTTACTTTTCTTTAATTCATGATAATATAGGAAAACTTTGATTTATTTCCATCTTTTATGCAAATATAACTAGAATTTATCTTACCAAGGCACCAGCTGAGATTGTTCAGGATGAGACAATTGATGCTAAGAATATAAAGGAACAGGTCAGTTTGACTTTTGTTTTTTTATAATACCAGAAAGCAAACTTAGATATATAACATGGAATCTCAGTTTTGAGTGCTTGCTTCCTAGTTTGTTAAAAAGAAATGAACGTAAAATAACCAAAACTATTGGTGATAATTGATCTGATAAACAGCTGAAAAAAAATCAGCATAGCCATTTTTCCAATCACCTCAGCTGAAGGATAGCATAGCTTCAGGAATATTGAAATCTATGTGCTTAATAATTAACTGTTCAATGGTTTAGGCATATGTTGCAAGTGGGCACAATAATATGATTTCTATTTGATTTTCTTTTTGTGTTTAACATAAAAATATATAGTATACATATATAATTTCAATTTTATTTCTACCTTACTCAAGATAGTCGCTGCTTCACACACACACACACACACACACACACACACACACACACACGCACGCACGCAAGAAGCTGTTGAATCTATGGAGATTCCCAATCATCCAGGTCAAGGTTGTCCCAAAGGTGCTTTTTCAAAAGGCAACTGGACTTTCTTGTTTTTTTTCTTTGAAAATGTTTTGTTTCTCATCCAAGAACTGAAGAAACTTCTTGGATAAGAGGATAAACGTTTTCAAATAAAAAAACCAAGAAGGTCCAATTGGCCTTTGGAAAAGCATTTTTGGGACAAGCTGTTGAATCATAATGTCAAAAATAGTATAGGCCACGCCCCCCCGCCTCCCCAGTTTCATCCATTTGGGACATGCATGCAACATTATATGGAACCAGGGATAGGGTTCACAACATTACAACACTGCTTTGACCAAGTTGCCTCTCCTTATATGGGTGCACAAGGCTACATAATTCAGCCCTGGCAGATAGTCATCCACTGAGGACAGAAGCAATACTTTATGGAGAGCAAAAACATTACGCTTACCCTCCAAATGATTTTATCCATAGCAATTTTGACTATTGTCTCTCCGACTTTGCTCAAGTATCATGGAGGGTAGACAGTCTTCCTTGTCATGTGACCATGGGGATGCTGCAAAGATCATAAGTGTAAAATAACCTATGGTCATAAGTTTGAAATAAGTCATAAATGTGAAAAACCTAGAGTCATGTCACTTTTTTTTAAAATGGCCATTGCAACTTTGAATGGTCACTGAATGAACATTTATAAGTCAAGGACTATCTGTATTTGGAGCAAATGGTTGCAGGCTCCAAGCACATGAGACTTTCAAGGTTATAACCAGCAGTAATAAACCAGCAACCAAAGCACCATCCATAGGACTGATGTTACATGTCTGCTTTGGGCCGTAAAGCATGAGCACTAGTGCTTAAGACACAAGATTGTTTCGGCTTTTATACAGGCTTCATCTAGCCTGCTATTCTAGTGTACCTCTAGGTACTATTCATTTTTATTGCAAGATACTTTTTAAATAACAGTAACCCAGAATGTTGTTTATTGTAGAACCTACAATAAAATAAAAAGCTCTACTCGGCTATAATGGATGTGGATAAGATGTAGCAAATGTACCTCTTAGCTTTAAAGACTAAAAAGTGGGAAAGGTTAATTCTTACTGCTTTTTTCCTGTAGGCAAAAGAAGGTGAGCAATTGCAGGTCAGTGTTAAATATATATATTTTCAGTTGTTAAAACTTACGAAATAGCAAAATCTGAAATTCTTGAGTTGGGAAATTTTGCTTTTTGCTTTATTGTCTCTAGTGGCCAAACTGGCATGGAAGCTAATTAGGGTCATCTCTGATTAGTACATGAATAGGAGATTACCTTGAAATCCCTGGCTATAAATTTAGGTTGGAAATAAAAATAAATCTAGAAGAAAACTCATTATTCCCTTCCGAATTACATGGATATGTCACTAGGAGTCTAGCTCAACTCCAAGGAGACATTAATTTTCTTTGTTTACAGTAAGCATTTCTTCAGTTAGTTTATTACATCAGAAAGTAAAACTCCATATTTCATATTGCTTCCACCACAGAACAGAGAGAATGCATCTCACTTTTCCATATATTCAGTTGTGATGTTAGATTAATTGCATAGGGAAAAAGTGGCTATAGAAGAGCTAAATTACAATCTTGTCTGTCAATTACAATTGATATATCAGATTAGGGAAAGCATTGACAGGATATTGAGGAAGTAGTCTGCCAATTTTAGCTCCTACTGTGAAATCCTCCTTTTTCTTATCAAATATTTATAATGTATCAAATTGAAACTAGTACTGTGATACAAATAAAAGGAAGTTTTTTCCATGGTTCTTTAAAAATTACAATTTTTACACAGCTTCAGGTTTGGTCATTCCTTCAGGATATTTGGAATAAACAATAACATATTTTTCATAGTTTTGAATAAGCAGAAGGTTTCTTTTAAAATCTTAACTCAATGATCCTGTCTAAAAGACTAAAGATTTCATTCTCTAGTAAAATTATTTTTCTTCTGTTCAGATTCAGTTTTCAAATAAGAAACTATTAAGTACTTTTAGATATAGGTCTTTTCAATGAGTTCTAGGTGCCTAAATTTTCTTACATTATCTATAAAATATATCTGTAAAACATTTGCTTTGGCAAAGTTACAAAACATTTGCTTCTTTTGGATTAAACAGGGAATGTGGTTTAAATACTTGCTAAAATCCATAGGAATAATTTATTACTATTGATTATTTCAGCAATCCACTATCAGTGAAAGAGTACCTTTTAATTAATAATGCCAAATCTGCCAATAAAGTGCATATTGCTTGATGAAGCATTTTGTCTCCTACTGAAATTGTGTGACTTTAAAAAATTAAATCTATATTGATTTTCTAATTGGTTTTCCATGCACTACCCACAAATCCTTTTAAGTGAATATCTCTGTTTATATTCGGAACACAACTTAGTGCCTACAGTTATATATTTTAGAATTGCCACCAAAGATTATCTGATATTAATTCACAGGAATTGCTATGTATCAGCTGAAACCTGAAGAGATGTGTAGAACTAATTTGCAATTAAAGTTTTTAATCTAGGCTACAACTTTGCATGCAGTGAGAATTTTGGCGCAATTCTACACATGCCCATTACTGGAATAATTTTATGTAGAATATTGTAGCATCATAAATAGCAAATATGCTTGAGAAATATTTATGCTGAATATAAACTATGTCTAGATAGTAAATATTCCCAAAGATTTTAGAGTAAGATTTTTAGTGTACATGATCAAAAGACAATTGGTTGAATCTTACATTTAATTCTGCTGGATGAAGAAAAATGTAATTAATACATTTTTTAAAAAGTTTCTATTTTCTTGGTTTTAAAGAATATCATGCAGACTACATTTAATGTACAACTTATTATTCTTCTCAAAAAATCACATTCTGCATCCCTAGTCAGTCTCTTGAAATCCCACTCAATATATTTCAATTTTTTGCATTTGTCATTTGGTTTTGAAGAATATAGACTATTATATAAAAAGTCTCTGCTATGTGACATAAGAAGTCCTTGGTAAATTTAGCACACTTATAAATCAAAATTATTTTGCACTTAAATTTCTGACTCAAAACTTTTGAGTTCAAAATGGTGCAAATTCAAAATATTTTCTACATTATTGGAAAGGCTGGGATCTATGTGAAGTGAAAGAAAAATCATATGTTTATTACCAGTTGACTTAAAACTCCTTACTTAGTCTTTTGGAAAATCTGCCATTTCTCAGGGACAGTGGTTGCAGAAGTTTCAACAAGAAAAAAAAGAGGAAAGAGCCAGGAAAGCGAAGCTACAACTGTGCGTGCTTGTTTGAGTGTGTGTATTTGTGTGTGTGTATGAATATTTATATATTTATATGGCATTATATAATATTAATGACACATATATTTTATATAATATATCACATTAACTCATAATCTTAATACAATAATTGTAATATATTTCCATAGTATTTTAATAGTGTGTGTATATGTGTGTGTAGAGGGCATGATAGCTCAATGGTTAAAGACATTGAATTTGTCAGCTACAAAGCTGACTGCCCAGGTTCAAGACATGAGCAGCATGTGACGGGGTGAACTTTCATCCTTGCCCCAACTCTTGCTCACCTAGCAGTTTGAAAGCATGCAAATGTGAGTAGATAAATAGGTACCACTTCGATGGGAAAGTAATAGCGTTCTGTGAGCCTCAGCGTATGGCCACATGACCACAGGAAGTGTCTTTGGACAATGCTGGCTTCCAGAAATGAGCACCACGCCCTAGAGTCAGACATATCTGTAGAGGGAAACTTTTACCTTTACCGTTATATGTGTGTGTATGTATGTATATACTATATATGTCTGTGTACACACATATACACAGGCTTTATTTATTTAAAAAAATTATATGCTGCCCATCTCACTGATAAAATGATTCTGGGCAACTTACAATATACTAAAAAGATATAAAAGATAATATAAAGTGATTAAAATCAAGAGGATTAAATAAGATTATATATAGTCAAACACACAGAGACATATGTATACTATATATGTATATTTATAAAAAAATCTTGCTATTTGACAGGACTTTCATGATCTCTAATGACTGATTTCTGTTACAGGAGAAAAAAGGTGCTTTCAAAAGAATGTTTGGATTCTTTTTCAGTAGATCAAGGAAAAAAGGTACGTCGTATATATGATTTTAACTTCGTAAAAATGCCTTCAGATATACAACTTCACCTACAGCTGATCAAGTATTATTACTGCATTCTTAACCTCAACAATCAATAATTTGATAGATGCTCAGGAAAATTTCACTGATAGGAAAAATGTTATATTCTCTTGGCTAATTTCAAAATCAAGTGTTTTGAGATTCCGGACAGATTCAGTGCTTTTTGATATAGCACAGGAATTTACTGCTTAAAAATTTAGTGATGGCCAAAACTCTGTATGGACTTAACTGGAAGTAGACATACTGAAAGAGAGCCAGGCTGTCAGTCATTGATCTCATTCGCTCCCTTTGTGGGACAGTATATTTTGTGTACTACTTGCAGTGTGTGAGATGCCTGATCAGCAATGTGCTGCTGTTTTCTTATCCTGCTCATAGGCTGTTCAACAGGTAGAACAGAATTGTGGATTAGCTAGGCCCGTGGTCTGATCAATACAGCTTTTCACATCATAGCTCTTGGCTATTATAATTAGTAAGAGGTTTATACCTGTAGTCATCTTGGCATTATTTGATCAGTCCTGACTTGTGGATATTTTGTAAGATGAGGCAGATCAATGTGGCCTTCAATGTACCACCTGACACTTTCTTTGAAAATTTTTATGAAATATGTTTTTCTTATTCCCTTCTAATATTCTGCTATGTCACATCTTCTGTAGGGTCCTGGCATGCCTTAGCAGTCAGTTTAAGATCTTTGATATGTGTACATGTGTATTTATTACATTAATTCTTTATATTTTTGTGGATGCAGTTAACATTTTCTTAGGTTTGCACCGAAAAGTGAATAGTATGAAATGGAGAAGAGTTGTGTACTGCTTCCTGTGGTAGCTTGCGCAAATGCTGATTTGAGCCATAGGTAAAAAGTCCATCCAAAAAATAGCCTCCTGGTCATCCAGTTGCAGAAGGTGGGGTAAATCTTGTGCCTTTGAAAAAGCAGCTGGGAGAGGCACATAATCCCAGAATTTAAATATACCATAAAGAACAACGGAGTGACCAATATGGATGCTATCAGTCACTGCTGTGTGAATTAAGCAAAACATTTATGTATGAATCTTTCGACACATGCAGCAAATAGTTTGGGGTTCTAAAACACGTGAGTTTAGATGTTTTGCTCCAGACGGGGATCAAAATGCAGTTCTGGATAGAAAAGTTTCACATCTTTTGTTTTAGTTGTTGTTGTGATTGGAAGTAACCTTACTTCTTCTCTTGTCTAGTAAAGAGTATAGTAAAGCCATAATAAAGAGAGCATTCATGTTCATCCTACTATTTACATAGGTTGGTTTAGGGGGTTGATCTAAGTTGAGTCTTGGGGTAAGTCATTTGGGAGGGAGTTATTGTGGCTCTGTCTCTGGAGTCTGATTGGAGAATGAGCCACACAGAGGAAGAAATCACTGCGAGGGACCATTGGATCCAGCACTGGAATGGTACTTCTGCTCGAGGGGTAGTGACTGGAGGTAAGTATCTGGTTGCCCGCCTGCCTGCCTCTAAGGCAACCTCCACCACCTTAATTTAGTTTACAGGTAGTCCTTGACTTATGACCACAATTGAGCCCCATTTTACGACCTTTCTTGCCACAGTTGTTAAGTGAATCACTGCAGTTGTTAAGTTAGTAACACAGTTATTAAGTGAATCTGGCTTCCCCATTGACTTTGCTTGTCAGAAGGTCACAAAAGAGGATCACATAACCCCAGGACACTGCAACCATCACAAATACATAGCAGTTGCCTAGCGCCTAAATTTTGATCATGTGACCGCGGGAATGCTGCAATGGTTGTAAATGTGAAAAACAGCCATAAGTCAGTTTTTTTCAGTGCTGTTGTAACCAAACGGTCACTAAACAAATGGCTGTAAGTCGAGGACTATCTGTATATATTTTTTGCTTCAGTTTTGATTCAATATTCAATTCAATAATTGGCTTTTAAACTGGCTTTTAAATTGGGTTTTAAACCTCTTTAGATAAATTTGGATGTTTTTTAATCTTTGAGCCTAAATTACTTAATCTGTTTCTAAATAGTTTTTAACTTCTATATGTATTTGTATTTATTATGGCTGTTCACCGCCCTGAGTCCTTCGGAAGTAGGGCGGTATACAAATATGAAAAATAAATAAATAAATAAATAATGTCATGTGATGGTGAGAGAGGGAGGGAGAGAGAGAGAGAGAGGGATTTCTTTTACTTTGTCCCATTTCACTCTGCAAGAGATCAAAAACACAGAACTTCGCATTCTTGCCTCATTCCTTTCTATTAAAATATTTATATCTTCAGGGAACATGTTACTCTGAATTCAAGGAAAGATAGGGCAATGCTAAGGATATTGTAATGCATTGCTGCACATTAAGAAGCATAATCTTTAAAGTGATCTGGAATCCCAGTGTGGTTGATATCTTTCTTGTTCTTTATCAAGTTTTATGAATATTGTTAACACAGATTTTAAAAATTAAGTTCATACATGATTCGAGTCATATACAGTTAGAATATTACTGTTAATCCATTCCTATCCATAGCTATTCATATTTAGATATGGTCTATACAGTCAAAAGTCAATAAACAAAAATAGACATCTTTTTGGAAGTCTTTTTGCGTTTTCCATTATTCATTGAATATTAGCATTGAGTTTTCAGTGGCCCTGCCTCTTCTGAATCCAATTGATATGTATCACAGTTTTCATTTTATGTATTGTTGAAATATGGATTGTAAAATCTTGAGTATTACCATGCTACTGTATAATGTGATACCAATTCAATTGTCATTAGAATGTTCTTTAGCACTTTTTTTTAAGTCCTGGAATAAAATAAATGCTGTCCAGTTTTATGGCCTCTGCTGTGTTTTCTGTACTTCCTTAAAATCCACATGTATCACTTCAACTGTATCATTTTGTAAGATTTCAAACAGTTTTGTTGTATTTCATCAATTTCTGCAGGTTTGTTGATTGCAGTATTTTCTCGTTGATGGTAATTTTGTTAAAGATTAGAAGTTACAACAGTAAAAACTAAAACTAAAAAAAAAGGTGTAGGAAAGAAGAGAAAAATAGAAAGAAAAATAGAAAAGAAAGAAAAATAGGAATATAATAAAGAAAAAGAAATTTACTTTTCTACCAAGTGTGTGTGTGTGTGTATATATGTGTATGTGTGTGTATATATATATATATATATATATATATATATATATATATATATATATTTATATTTATCACCTTCTCTTAAAATACAAGGAATGAACTATATATCTATAGTCAACTACAAACAAATCCATATAACCGTTTTTAGCGGCTTCTCCAGAGTCCTCATGCTTCGTTTTGCACAATGAAAGCAAATTCTCAGTTTATTTCATATGTTGTTTTACCTCCAACTTTAGCATTTTTGGTGTTGTATTGAAAAAAGTTGAACTTTCAACATCAGTTTATCCTGAATTTATGCTTGGAGCATAATCACAGAGCGCCCCCAGTCTGAAAGATTTACCTTTAATTCAAATTGAGATCATTCTGTTATTTTGGGGTTGCACCCAAGCACTAATATTGCTGACTGCTCAATTTCATCTGTGACTTTCTTGTTTGACATAGAAGGTGCTCCGCTAATATTATTCATTTATACAATGTATAGTGCCCAATTCCCAATGACTCTGTGTGGCTTACAGTTAAAAAGTAAGAAAAAAAATAGCAAAAAATGATAGCCCAAAAGTAACATATAACTAGAACCCCCTTCCAACAGGGCTCATCCTTCACTCTGCCTCAAAGCCAAGGAGAATAGCCTGGTCTTTAATAGCTTCCTGAACATGATCAGGGTGGGAGGCATCCAGATCTCTGATATGAAATGACCCACTTAGATCAATTAATTTGCTAACCAGAATATCAATATTTAGCTAATGCTTAGTCTGACATTTCAGGTCTGCCATCAAGCTTGCCTTTGTTTATGATTGTGATAAGTTCCAGTGAGAGAGGGAGAGAGAGTATGTGTGTATGCAGCACAGACCACAGATTTGCCCCCTCGCATTCTGTTCAGAGTTTATGATCATTCCAAAGTTATAGCAAAGAGAAAACTAGGCATGAACATTAAGTAGTAAAGAGCCTTAAATAATTCAGTTAATGATTAAAGGAGGTTTTTCTTCTCAGTGAAAGAGGCAAAACCCTTGCAGCATCAATCCTCCTGTTCTGTAATTCAAGAACTTCAAAGCTTTTTCCCCCCCACAAATGGACGTGACTTTATGAACCAATCTCTGTTATGAATGAGGCTCTGTTTTAGACAATATTGTTTGTTATTCCTTCTGAAATAGTTTCCAATATTAAGTGTATATTGTAATCTAATCTACATATTGCTTACATCAGCTGTTTCATTTCTTTTCGAGAATTATTATCTTTGTTCCTATCATGGCTATTAAAATTGTTTTTGTCATTGGAGAGGCTAAATAGGGTTCCCCTTTTTAAAAAAGTCATAAATGTCTTACTGTTAAATTCAATAACTAGCATGATTATGCTGCTGCAAATTTCTAGTTGCAAAAGATTAATAAGATGATCTAAGAAATGATAGAAGTTGAGAACATAGATTTTACAAGTGCATAGCTTTTAACCATAGAATTTAATGCAGGAGTGTTTTTATCATAGGGCTTAATTCCTTTTGGAATATAAGTTTGTGTGTAACTTATATATCACAAAGACAAAACTCTTAAAGCAAAAATGTCAGAGAAAGATGACATATGTAAGAGACTAAAATGCTAACAGTAAAAAAGAAATCAAAAAATTAAATAAAATTAATAGCAAAAGGCAAAAAGGAAACTTTTTCTATCCATATAAATGAAAAGTATGGAAAATTACTCTTGACCAGTACAAGTATTCTATGTCAAATTTTTGCATATGGTTGAATATCTAGTTTCGTTTCTTCTTTTTCACTTCTTTCCTGTTTAATTAGGTATGTGCTTATATATTCATTTTATATTTTATTTTCTTCAATAAAAAATAAGAGT